GACGTAAGCAGCGGGCTTTGTACACATCGTTGCATCTGTCTAAGCTACTGCTGCGCAGTAAACTAGCGCCCTCTATCGGCTAAACTCTTAGTTAGCACTATCGTATGACTAAATTTGTAATGCTAGTTAAGTTGAACGTGACTGAGTCATAAAGATAGACGTAATTAAGAAATGGGCTGAACTTGAAAACTGTGAGAAGGATTTCTGTTTTTCTCTGATGCATTGCCGTCGTATCCAGGCACGAGCAAAAAAGAGCAGTGCGTAAAGTGGAGAGTTCTAACGGAAAGGAGGAAGAGGCAACATTGAGTGAGAGCGAGAGAGAGGCCGATAGTTTATTGTCAGGTCGCTTAGTGGTCGGAAAACAGTGTTGTTGTTCAGAGGGGTGACAGTGATGGTGATGATATTAACGGTGAGAGAGGTTCGCAGCTTTCGGCTCGGTCAGCCGCGGCAGCATCAGCAGCAGTAGCAGCAGCTTAGCTCTATACATCTATTTGTCTCGCTCCGTTAGCCTACCAAAAGGTTTGGGTCCAACTCCGTCTGGGTGCTGACCGTGCAACGACATAGCGCTAAGTGTCCAACTCACGGCGTCAGGTGTGGATGTCCAGCCATTCAGTCAAGCAGGCGAATGATCGTGTGAAAACTCTTTACGATTACTGCTGCTGAAATTAAAGCGAATCAAGAGACCCCCGATCGTTTGCTACTAATACAAAAGAAGCAAATTTTTAGAAAGGTCATGTGATTCATGAGTCTAAATAATGTTCCTGTAGTTCCATATCAACTAGTTATCAGTTACGGCACTGGCGCTGGAACGCTTTAGTGAAGCTATAGGTGACTGATAATAAATTTATCGTGACTTCGATAACGTCGACCAGGCCCAGTTGCCAAATCAACTCAGTGTCCCTATTGCTATAAAGTTATGAAGTCTCTGTGAAGCATTGGAGTTATTGTTCTATTCGTTTTATTTTTAGCGCGAATATCACGAAATAATATAAAGTAGAACACCAACTAGTAAAAAACGATTTGTATTTATATTGACCGGTTACAACCACTAAATCATTGTAAAACGTTTTTCCGACGGACGTTGAAAATCTTGGTCATTTAAAATTATGCTATACAAATGAACGGTTCTTTTCACTTCTGGTGGACAACGGAACAAACCAATATGCAGTGAACCTTCAATGTAACGACAGTCAGGTTAGGGAGAACAATTGCTACAACATTTAGTAATGTTGAACAGTGTTAAATCCCAGCAGCTGACGAAGGGTACAACAAATCGCCATCAACAGAAAAACCTTAACTTCTGTGATAATTTTAATAACTTCGGTTAATTTGGTACGGAGCGGTCCTATTGAATCTTGACTTGATAGAACCAAGCTTGATTTTAAGCTATCGTTACAATCTATAGGACAAACTATAATCACAAGTATTTTTTATCTGTACGAAACGCAGAATACGAACAGAAGCAGAATATTAGGCCAATTTCACGCTCCACGCGAGCGCTTGTTCGAACAACACGATAATGTCAAGCAGCAGTGTGTCAAGTACCGCTGGAGACGTCACTTCAACTTCAGGCGGATCACCAATCGTTGCTGTAAATACTGGTATTTCGTCCGCGTTGCGCCCTCTCACAGAAGAGGAACTGCTCGCAAAAGATACCATAACGCCCGATGACGTTTTAAGGCTCAACCGGTTTACTAGAGGTATACAACATATTTGAATTATCCTCACTAATAAATAGACTCGAATAAGCGTTCAGAGTCAAATTGGCTCTGAACTAGAGTTACGATGTTTAGGTTAGGTTAAATTTTCGTGATAGTTTAATGAGTAGCGTATTTTCCTGCTGATCTCAGGGATGCGTTGTAGTCTGGCCTCAAACCTGCCTAGAACACATTTCGTTCTGTGCTGGAAGCCAGCCGTCTAACGAAATGCCTACCGGACGTAGAATTTGAAACAGGGTCATAGGCCTTAGCGTAGGTTGCGACCAAGCATCTTGGTCGCTACTAACAGTATCGTCATAGATCTGAATACAGGACGACCTGTCTACATGTATGCACTTATTTATAGATAGATCTATGTAACATTACAATTTGGCCACTCATACCCAAGCAACGACCTAGCTTTTACCGCTTAGCGACTTAACGTAGTGCTGTCCAGATTTCCTCGAAATCCCTTCCGGCTCGTGTTGTGCGGAATTCTTATGTTCCCAAAGTCGACTAGAGGCTTGCACAGTTGACCCGTTAGGAGAGTCTTTCACGAGCCCGTGGCAACAGGCTTACACAACAAGTGCTTCCGTCGTCTTGAAGCACATCCCACTACCGTGACAGTATTTCTTAATAGCGCTCTGTGCGCTACGCCCAGTGAGGTCGAATTTTACCAGTGGACCCTTAGTTACAGACTACAAACAACTACGACGTGTTATTGCGATATCTGCCGGCCTTCGACAAAAAGTCGATACATATTGCAGTCGCGTAGCGTCTAATATTCCTATTCCATAATTCCCGCTCCCGGATTAACACGCTATCAACCAGCATACAGTTTTACTCAGCTCTCTAGAATTGCTGCTGGCATGTTTGTAACGGAGACCTGGGCCTATCCTCGTAGGTCCCTTCCGAACTGGTCCGACATGAATTGGTCGTGATCCCTTTCAGACTGGTCATATATGGACTAGTTCTCATGTCTTCCGTTCTCCTGTTTTCGTTGAAACATCCATCAGTCTACTATTTATTTTGCAAATTCCTATCCTATAAATATCGATGCGTCCGCCATACGTAATCCGATGGCCAATTCCATTACTCCGGTAACAGTTGATGCTTTTCAATCTCTTTGTCATTGTGAAGGATCACTTCTAATTCGTTTGAACTGCAATTCCTACCATGTCGACAGCCATGACACCAAAATAAGCATACTAGCTAAGCTTTGCCATTAGCTGGCAGTAACGGATACTTCACAATCACTCGTCCTGATCTTTTATAACTGCACACGTGAATTGTATCCCAGATTAGTATTATAATATTTGAGAATTGCCTTAATTTTAGTTCTATTCATTTCAGAGTATCTGTGCGAACCTGAGGCGAACCTGTTCAACATTGATTTCACCCGTTTCACAATTCGGGACATGGAGAGTGGGGTTGTACTTTTTGAGATCGCCAAACCGCAACTGCCAGGTTAGTTTACATGCAGGATCCGAACGTCTCCTTCTAAGCTGTGAGTTTTTTTTTAAGATAACGACCGTAACACACGTGTTATAACTCCTGAGCCACTGTGTGGCTGATTCACGCTCATTTAAAGAGATTTGACAGGAGGACTTTTCAATGCATGCACTTTGCAAAGTACAAAAATAAATGCACGTCGCTTTTGTTCTCCTATCACTGAGCCATATTAAACGATTTGGCAAACGTTCTGTCTCGTTAAAGCTATTGTTTTGTAGTCGTTATGGTGTATAATATCAATAATAATGACAACCGTGGAACCAATCAGGCGCACTGTTGTGTAATACTGAAGAAAAGCTAGGGTTTTAAGTCTTCTATACAAATATTAGTAGTTATTTTTGTAACACCACTTCCTTAGTTTAAAAAAAAATAGATCTAGACAAGTGAGGCAGTCAACTAATGCGACTATGCAAATGAAACGTAGGCTAGTGTAGCTCTTCAGTAGATACTCAGTCGTATCGTGCCGATAATCGAGGTACAGCGCTCTATTACGACACCTGAAGTTTATGAGTTTATTTTAGAGATTACTGGTTAAAATCTAATTAGTTGATCGTTGCGTTTTGCATTTCGTGCTATAGAACGCGAAGATCTCGTGACCAATGTTGAACAGGAAGGCCAGGACCAAGATGGTCCTGCTGAGATTACAGACACGAACGCGGGGCGTTTTGTGCGCTATCAATTCACTCCGCAGTTTTTGAGACTCAAAACCATCGGTGCTACGTAAGTATAGGTCCGTTCCGCATGGTGGGGCCTGCGACCGCTCTAGTTGCGAATTGTCTGTCTCTCTGATATATGTAGAAGTTTCTAATTTTTCTTACAAAACTACGCGAATTTTACGAACTACGAATTTTAACTGCTAACTACTACAATCTTCTATAAACTTTTAAAAACCAATCGAGTATATTCCAGGAGCACTTTTGTATTCAGTGGTAATCACCGGCGGATTTCGCGTACTTGAAACTGTTCGAATTTCCATTCATGCTCGTACGCAACATGTCAGTAACACAGGATAGCGAAACATGCAGTCAAAGGTTATTCTTTGTGATTTATCGAAGAGTCTATTAAGATGGCAAATTTAGTTGCACACAAGTCAGCTCTCATCCGTAGCAATTAGTATATAATAAATATAAGTGAATGTGTCGATTTGATCTGTTTTCAGAGTCGAATTTACTGTAGGCGACAGACCTGTCTCACGGTTCCGAATGATCGAGCGTCACTTCTTTCGCGATCAACTGCTGAAGACATTTGATTTTGAGTTTGGATTCTGCATCCCTAATTCGCGTAACACCTGCGAGCACATTTATGAGCTTCCGCTACTTAGCGCTCAGTTGCGACAACAAATGACAGCTTGTCCCTATGAAACAAGATCAGACTCGTTTTACTTTGTCGAAGATAAACTGGTGATGCATAACAAAGCTGATTATGCTTACACCGGCGGAAGACATTAGAAACTCAAGCGTCTATATCTTACCAGCTGCCTACAGAACAGAAAGAGAAGACTAGGTAGGAAACTGCTTTACCGTACCAGCCGCTTTCCGAGCATCGCCAGTTTTTAGCATAGTCATAATATCTTATAACTACGCTTCTGGTTTCCAGATGCCGTAAGCATCGCATTTCAAAGAAAATCCTACACATGCCCATAAAATATTTACGGCCTAACAAAGTTATTTGCAGTGGCAGCAATTTAGACCGCTACTAGCCAGTATCAAACAATAAGACGTTAATTTTTTTCTTTGGTTTATACTCTCGAACGTCAAAGGCAATACATGATTCATCATTAGGCTGCAACAAAACAGCACTGATTGATTTAATAGGAGGGTGTCCAGGTAGTTGCTGAAGCAGACCTAAACCAAGTGATAAGGACTTCTATTAACGATTACTGTCATTGGACAATAATCGTGTGAGAACGACGGTGACTGACTTCCAGCAAGCTCTATTTCGAGAAAATCGCCCTCGTCCGATGGTGAATGACGCGGAGCGTGTTAATACCATTATACTACTACGAGAAGAAGCACGATAATCGGTTGTGATTAGGACTTTCGCAGACACTGAACAAATACAGTTATTGACAGCTAATAATCAGTTGTGCCCTGGCACGAGTAAAGTACATGTAATAATGGAAACGCTGTGCACTATGTTATTTATTGTCGAGGTATCCAGGAAATATAAGCAGACGCACTTAATTAGAAAAATTTTAATTCTACTTGACTTTACTCAGACCTGTTGTCCAGTCTAAGTAGCCTAGTAAGTCTAAGTGAAGTTTAAAAAGCAGAAAAACTCTCGTATAGCCGTGTGCTTCGTGCAAACAAATATAGTCGATAATCTACGCTTCCTCCTTCATTTGCGTTGAACAGTTTTCCTGAACCCTAAAGGGATGTTTCTACTCTTTTCACTAGATTCTCAATTCACTGAGTCATACACACCTAGAACACGCTGTATCACTAAAAAAAATAACATTCAACTCGAAGATTATTTTTGGGTTGTATGCTTCGAGTCGAAGTAGTTGAATGGTGATAAATATTGATACACTGCTCGTAGTTGTGATCATAAAAATGCCTATAGAGTAACCCAAACGATGTTTCAGCTAGAAGCAATAAACAATCGTACAAATCACAGGAATAAGGTAATAATTGTAATAAGTCTTCGGAATCATTATGATCATTCTTCAACTGAAGACCTAACGGCAAATTAATGTGGTCGTAGAGATAAGAGTTTGCAAACGGTATTTCAATATTTCGCTCCAGGCCAAGTAAACAAGAACTGAACAACGTTTTCATTAGGAGCGATTTTAGGAGGGAGACTTCAACAGCTCAAACCGCAGTCACCTCAGTACGAAAGATGCGCTTCAGGACAACTGGAGTAATGAGCAAGAAGTATTTCATACTATGGCACGAATGTCGAAGTGGCATTTATTTGTAGAAAATGCGTTACCCTCAATAGTGGATAATGAATGAATGAAGGCCGACAAAATCTACATCGTGAACTGTCAGAGAAGCAAAAGTGACACACAATAAAATAGCACTAAGTTAATAAACGTTAATATGATAAAGTGTTCCTTAAAGATTTACATAATAAATCATTTCGTGTTTTGCTTACATTTTCTGTGAGAGTCTCGTGCCGATAATGAGGTAAAAAAATAGTAAAAATATGGGCGCTCTTTCTATCTCTATAGATAACAAGTTTTTTCTTACGTGAACGACAAAATCTCTAATCCAATAAAAAAACCTTGTCCAAATAAATTACCTTGTCCGCTTACAGTACAGCACGGCGACTTCAAAATCGTATTTAGTAGGTTATGGCAGTATTTCGTCACTATCACAAAATGTAAAGAATCTAGCTGTTTAGAGAGCAGAAGGATAACCCGTAATCTACTGGACATGTAGTCTCAAAAAGTGCCCTAAATAACATTCATGACGTGTCTGTGGGGTGTTGATTTTCCAGCACCCTTCATTACTACGCGATGTACCCTGAAACGCGGGCCTTGAAAAAAGGCTTTGAATGTTGTGCCTGACATTGTCGTATTTGCAGCCCTTCATTAGTAAGCTTTGGTTTATTTTAGTCTAAGTCGACTATGGACATCACCAGCAAATTCAGTGCGTTAAAAAGTCCAGCTGCTACGGCGATGAATGTCTAACACTAGTAATGCGATCTACGACATTTTCTGACTGGAAAAGAAAGCGTCCATGGCATGTACAGTTGACAATTTCAATTATTTATTTATCTATATACAATTGTGTTATGTCTGCTTACTACGACGGAGATTTGCTGCCATAGAACATCTCATCTTGCAGAACTGAAACTCTCGTCCAACACTTTCGTATAGGCATTATACCAAAACATTCTCCATGACAAACATTTATAACAAGACTAAAGGCAACACAACGAAGCAGAAATAAATAGCCCCTGAATCATGCAAGTTCGCGATACAGAAAGCGACAATTTTTAGGGAGATCAAGAAGCGATCATGCTTATTGTTTTCAAAAGGGCTCAAAATTTATTAAAGCTCGGAAAAGTACTGATTGGAATATTGTAACGTCATCAAAAATTAGTTGGCAGGTTTCCCATGTACGGTGTTTTCTAGTTTTCATCTCTTTAGTTAGCAAATAACATATTCGAGTCTATTTACTGTGACAAGTTGACCGATACATAGGGACATTCGACCGATTTTGTTGAAATTTTATTATGGTTACGAACCAAATACTAATAAACTGAAGTTAAGAGAAAAATCGGTCCCAATGGCTATCTAAATCAATGGGTACTAGCTAAGTGAACAGTCTTACAGTAATAACGACTATTTGGCTGTACGAGACCTCCGAATCGATATTCTAAACCACTTCCAATCGGTCGATATTTTCTCCTTATCTCTTTAGTTTCTCTTTAGGAAATTGTTTTCGATCTACAAAAGTACAATCAATGGGATTTCACGTACAGAGTAAAGCAAGGCCAATATATTTGGCCATATCTATCCTATTTATTATTTTTTCAACTATAAATGTTTCCGTGGTCCTTCGTTCATCGCTCTTGATCCAAACAATATTGACCACTCGTGCAGTTTATCTTCTCTTACAAATTTGTCATAAGTGCGACATATTATAGCCAAGTAAGTCATATCGCAGTTAAGTGGGCAGCCTGTAAATAATATGAGTCGGTACAATGCGACCTGAGGCATTTAACTAACCCGTAGATTCCAGTGTACAACATCGTCGCACACTCTGTCCGTTGTTAAGAGTAGACAGAGTTTAGTGGACCTTGTAGTTTTTCAATATAATGCTCGTCTTTGATATCCTTTATAAAAATGAATACTTCATACCCTAAAATCGGAATAGCTCACGAAGCGATCCACATATTTTTGATCCATATCAAGACAGTAGACGGCCGACGCATATCGCGTACAAATCTTGTACAGTGTGTTATGTATACGATCGTGAAGAGCTAGCGGACCTCCAACTTGCGTAACGGTTGCTTCGAGCGCAAACAGCGTATCCATGATCTCTCGAAAGTGCACCTGAGTGACACCGTTCTTATTTTCAGTGTAAGCGTAGTACACAAGCGTCCCAACAGTATCCAAGCTCCACGACACCTGGAGCATTAACATTCGCAAGCAGTAACATTCAAACAATACGTAAGAATATCCATTGAGTAAACGCGGCAGACACCTTAAATTCACGCGCGCACTAATGAATGATTGCAACCTAATTTTACACAATCAATCTTGTCTCAAGAGATAAGAGTAATTCTAATATACATCCTGTACACAAAATATAATATTTACCCAAATAGAAAAAAATAAATCGGTTATGAGGTCGACTTGCGAAATCTCAGATCACCTGCTCGAGATCCCCAAGTTGTACGGTCTGCGGTTTTCGCCAGCTGCTTAGTCTAAACTGAGTATTGTTGTCACCGCCTCCAAACTGGCCGGAACCCATAGCATGTTGTCCATGGCTTCTGCTTGTGGCTCCAGTCTGTCTGTGTGTTCCCGAAGCAGAATCGCCTTGTTCAAGCTGGTGAGTTGTAGCACGCAGACAGTTCAAAGCAGGATCGACCATAGCACGCCAGTTAAGCACTCGTCCACCAATCGGACTGATCGCCCAGACCCATTCACGGCTTGCTCGTCCCGAATTGACGAACAAAGTACTTTCCCACCACGCTATCCGTTGCCCTGACGCTAGACCTGAAAGGTATCAGCATCAGCAAAAACCAGATAAATGCAATATGATTCTACACCGCCTATGGAGGATATCTTGACCCTAATTAGAGACCGTCTTTCGCTGAACCTATCTCAATAAAATATAGCTTTATTATAATAACTATACAGCTAAGGTTCGAACCTGGTCAAAGAACATTAAGGTATCGTTTTCTGAATCTCCTCATACTGCGGTCCATTTTACTGGATTTTGATTCCTACTATTTTTCTTGCCATACCTTGGCAGATGTTCTTCCCATTAAGTCGAAGTGGGGGCAGTGTGCTGAACAGCCTTGTTGTAGCTAGGCATGTATCATAGAAAACGCTCATAAGTATGGCGACACTGGACAAGTCTTTGGCAAGGCCCAATACGCTCAACGAAGACATATTCGTTGACAGGGGCAGGGTAAGGATAGCTGAGGCAAAAAGTAACATCAATAGCGAGGAAGCTCTTGCCACCAAAACTGATGGAGACAGTAACACAAGAAGTTGGGAAGACACCGTATGGGCCACACGTCGACGCGTGGACACGCACACCGCTGGTACCTAGAGTTGATAGCAGATGTTGTAAAGTCATCATTCATGTCCTCTCGTGTGACTTGAAGGACTTTTCCTTAAAATTCAACTTGTGGATTTCATTTAGATGAACTTGCTAGGTACAAAATAGAAATAGTCTTTAAGCATCCAACACTCCAAAAGCTTGTATAAGAAACAAAAGTGAAGAAAAATATTACTTAAGTACGTAAAAATGAATAATGGGATACTGTTTCAAATTCCAGCTAAAATTATATTAAGTTTTTAAGTCGCACCAATTAGCTCGACAAAGTTCTAAATTATTTTAGCATTGACGTCAACTAACGAAGCAAAATAAACTATTTCATTTCTATTATTCTATTTCCATTTCTACTATTTCCAAAAAAACTGAGAAAGCATGAGATCTCGTTCAGTAATTGCAGCATATACAAAATAAATTTCCGTAAATTGTTTTTTGTAGACTCATGTTTTTATGGACCCACCAGGCGCGGTGACAGGTGTAAGGTCTACCTAAATTCATACCTAATCTTCCATTTATTTGTGCAATGAGGAGGTCAGGCATACTATTCTATTACTGTGTTTCTAGCAATCATTGTTTCAGCATAAAAGCATAACATAGTTGCTATTGCAGTACCTTAAGCGGTGCACTTGAGACTGATAAGACACTACGAACTCCAAGAAGTGTCGAAAAAATGATGACGAATAGAAAAGGGAAGTTCCAACCGAAGGACTCTTCATTCGTGGGGCATAGAATATACGCCAGGGGAATACAGAGCGGGACTAATAGGCTATATCGTGCTATACGAGAAATGCCTTTTCCTTTCAGCGAGACACTCATGAAGGCACAGCATGGCACTGGAATAATATCAAATTTGAAAGATCTATTATTGTTATTATTTAATTGTAATCAACAACTCATTGAATCATTTTCCAACTGTTTAAGATTACAAATTCGCAAGTCTTACAAAGAAAAAAAATTTAACTTACAAGTGAACAGACATGCAAATACGCTGACTATAAAGCTGTAGGATCCTCCGAACACATACGCATAGGGAAATATCACGGGGGCAGCAGCTAATGAAGCTAAAAACACAGTTTCGTCCATTGTACGGAAAGCACGTTTGTCTGAAACATTTGGATCACCATTGTTAAAAGACCAAATTTAATATAATTACACAAATATTATTGACGCAATGTACAATAAATAGCTGCTATGTCATGAGTCGGTTATAGTGCTGAGAGCAGAATGCTTCGTGATGACCTTCCAGAATACAAGGAGCTGTTTTCGTACGCATTTTTTAGCTAATAAACTGATCTACTTTTTATATACTGCAGACTTTCTTCCAATTTTCAAACCCTATGCCTTTGCGAAAGCGATAGCATAGAATTTAATCCACGCGTACAATATCGTTGTTGTTACATTATCATCACTATACAGGTCAACAATTTAGTGATAATAAGATCGCTCTGCATAGACACAACGAAGCGGCTGTCTATTTATGAAACTACAAAGTAATAAAATACGCGTACTTACAAAGTTTGCAGCTATTCCTTCAATGCTTTGAGAATGGTGGTAGTTTTTTTTTGACGCCCTTCTGCTTGAATAGTCCGAAATAAAAAAAAAAACCGCCTTACATATATTTCACTAGTTTTAGAAACAAACTTGCGCAGGTGTTCTTCGCGGCGCCGCGCCTCACACCGGGATCGCCAGTAGTTACGACACTGTTTTGGACACTAGACAGACGAATTTGACCGCTAATTCGTGATTTTGAATAGAAGCTTCATTGACACAAATCAAAAAAATATGATACCGATTTCATAAAGACTACGATGGCTAAGCCCCGAATGAGTGTAGTGTACACGGGCTGGAATAGATTGACAGGAACGCTAGTTGATTTCTGCTTCATAACGGTATTGAATTACAATTTTCTTTTTGAAGTACGGTAAGGTAGCCTCCAATGTTGCGAACTGCGTAAAAATTATATCAGGAGGCTTGCCCCTGCGGACAGAAACTAACGGGTTTATTGCCGGGTTCACACATATTACATACATTCCGTACTCCGGTCAGCTTTAAACTTTGTATTGCACAACAGCGTTTGTGTACTGGGTGCAAAACGTGTCAGGAATAAACAGTTTTGTCCTCAAAATTTTCAAAAGTAGTACAACATTCGCTTAGGTTATAGCAACCTGTTAACGTGAGTCTATGCTGCTGCGAAGCGTACTGTGTGATAATAAAAAAAAAAAAAAGCTTTTGCTAATTGTTGTACCCTTTACCTGTTTGTTTAAAAATGTTAAACTCGTATTTTATACTGCCTTACGTGCTGCAAGAATTGACATGTCTCAGCATTATTAGAATCACTAAAGGTCTTGCTAGCAATGTAGTAAGAACCATTTAAAATGCATAATAAGTACAATTTGTAACTGAACACTGTACATGTCTCCATATTTAGAGTTTAGTAAAAGAATTACTAATGTTTTCGAATACAATTCATTTTGTGTTGCTCAGGTATCATAATTGACACAAATTCATATACATAAATTCCCTAAATTTTAAGCAAAGATGGAACGAACATGGTCCCTGAATGAAAAAGTGGTATAAATACACCTTTTGTGAAACCGAAAAGAAGCAAAGGGTGCTATTTATTATGTAACCGGTGTTCGAGTCTCTCCGTTTCGGGATCTACAAATTCACATTACTGAGAACACAGTGGTTTTTATAGCTACGTCCTCATTTTCAGTGCTGGACCTTGAATGAGGTAATTGACGTTGTATACTCCTGATGAAATGAAACCAAGGTCTAGTATGCGCCCTTCGGAGGCATACTTGAATCGAGAAACCAACTTGCTATTTTACCACATACACCTGCTGAAACCGAGGGACACATTACAAACGGCTATAAGTTGAACGTATAACATACCACTGTTCGAATAAATGACGTTTTCTCTCAAGACCAAAACTATCATCGTCACAAATATTCGCATACTTATGGAACTGATTAATATGATTCTTCAGTCACTAACACTAAATTGTCATCGTAATAATAATGATAATACAACAGTAATTCGAATGTAAAATGTTTTATGCAATGTATTAAGTTCTATTTTTATGACTATAAAAGCAACTTTAACACTGCAGTTGCGTGACTGAACCAAAAAGATGTTATATAGGGCCGTAAAGATGTTCATTAGCACTCTATGAGACGAAGGCCTGTCGCTATTCGTTCCGTAAGAGAATATACTTTGTGAATCAGAACAGTTCGAAACTGCCCTGAAACTCCTGGAATAACTAGAGATACCACTGCAGATTGCATAAACATGAAGGAATCATGAAATTAAACTATACGATGAATTTTCAGCGTACGATTGTAAGCTCACGATTCATTAAGCACGAAATCAGCATCAGAAAAGCTTGATCCTGTTTTAGGATCGGAGACCGCACTTGGGAATCATCAGCAAAGTGATTCCATGGAACAATTGTAAATAATTTAATCATCGCGCCGCTTTTTTTTAAAGCAGACGCATGTGTAAGTTATTTTTGTAGTTGGAACTTTTTGTTTGATTACAAACTACACAGCAGACGACGTCATGCAGCAAGTCCTTTAGCCAGTAAACTAGTTAGTCTCATAGCAGTGTGTGCGGGTGTTTGCGATAGATGATATATTGGGTAGGTGCTGGGCGGCTGTCAATGAACAAAGCGTGAAGTGGAGTAGTAAAATCGTGCCGCGGTGGTGCTATTGTCAGCGTATTGAAGACACAAAGGCAGCTAGAAGTACTTTTGACTAACGGTAGGCCGCTGACGTCGGCTCAGGTTCAGCGGCCATCGTTGTGCTCAACCAGTTTTTCTCTGTTGCATTTGGTGAAGTGTAAGAGGAAAGCTGGGGGTAACGAAGTTGGGTAATCAACGGCACTAGGCTATGTGATCAAAGCGGAGGTGCCCATGTTGTGGCGAACGCGCGGGCCCCACAGGCTGCCGGAGCCTCATGAGGACATCCTACCACCGCTACAAGTATCACCTTTCTTCGGCAGAAGCAGATACAGGCTTAAAGGCGACGAATGGATGGGACGAGAAGCTGGTGCCAGTGATACTGTTACTAATAGGTCCAGTTATAACTGCAGCAGCAGTTACTCAACGTGGTGTTGTCCAACAGCAGATCGCATTGTACTAGTCAACAACAACAATAATAATAATAATCATAGCCTCGACGTGGTGCCAACATCACATGGCATTCGCGATGCTGATGCTACGAAAGAGGATGTACAGGGCTTCCAACGGTTCACCGATCATTCCTCACACTCAGGTATAAGTGACTTTAGGCAAAAATCAATAGTCTCTTCAGGCCACACGCAAGCGGTTAAAGATCGTCTTTTGCCTACCATAACGGAAGTGTCGTCCTTAGTCGGCGTTTTGCCAAAGAAGACCGACTGGATCTCGACGCGGTCATTAGCTGTAATTAAGAAGACGATCTCAAGAATAACTGGAGGAGGCTTTAGTGAACACCGGTACTGTCACAAGAGGTTTCAAACTAACGAGGATAAGAATCTTGTTCATATCGATCGTGTTAACGATTACAAAGGCGAACTGAATAGATATACTACTTTGTCAGCTGTCTTGACAATTGTCCGACCATCGCCGGATCAAGCGTCGCTGGTCTCTACCTGCAGTTCATCAGCATCAAAGCATCCTTGCCAACACGCATCCAGAAGTCGGCAACACGGATCCATTTGTCGCTTCACGTCACTTAACGTCGTTGTAATCAGTGTATTGTTTCTATTGGTGTTTCTGGCAGGTCCCGCTTATTGCGGCCATTATGTCCATTGCGGGAAATTGCTCATTGGTCAATATAGATGCCCGGAACCCGAAATCGATGTGATTACACAACAGGTACAGACAGACAGACAAGCTGACCTCTAACGTCTTATACAACACCCAACAATACGCTAAAGGCAGATCAAAAGAGTTTAGCGATAATAATGATAAGTCGCCTATTATAACTGATACAAGAGTGTGCGGGCTTTATGGCTGTTCCGTTTTTATAGCAGCCAACATGTTCGAATATGCCGGCCTACGTTTGTATAATTGAAAAAGAAGCTTTCAAGAAGCTTTTACAGTTCAGTTAATAGTTTCGCGGTTGTTGTTATGGCCGTATGTAATAATGGCAGATTATAATACATGTTAGTACAGTAGAATGGCATACAGATAAGCATCTTCTATTTGGATAGCATGCCTTCATTGGGTGCTGTACCTTATTACATGTATACGATACACCTTTTGTTTACAAATTAAAAAATTACAATATATATATAAATATATATATATATGTATTATGTTATTTTGCCTTTGGCTGGTGATCAGGTTTCGGGTTGTTATTCGAACAATTCTGCTCCAGTCGTCTGTACATTAGCACCAGAAATCTTCTGCCTGGGTGGAACGGGAATTAACGATACACATTTCATCAGTGAGGTATGGACTGAATCATTTCGCTGCTTAAGACTGCTTTATATACACAAATCATTCGTCTAATTTAGCTTATGTCAAGAAAGTGTGCATCTTCAAAGTGATGTGCAAACATACAATCGACGTTCTTTTACGATCTTTTTGCCGCCGGACAAGGCACCTTGGAAGTGACAAAATTAATAGTTTTACACATTTTTTTTGTATGCTCTTCGATTTTTATTCTTAGTTAATTGTCCTCAAAAAATGGGTTCTTTTTATATACTACTCGGATGTGCTATTCTTCGATTTAGCGAATTTTCTCCATAATTAAAGTGTTATCTTAGTTCATTGCAAATTTTCCCTTCCTTGAAATGCAGTTTATCTCGTATACTCAGTGAACATTGTAGCTGATCTCTGTTGATTTTTGGTGCCTGGTCGGCTTGATATCTTGGCCATTTCAGGTGCCGTGTGAATGGACAAATGGGTATTCTTTCGAATTCTCTCTACTTCTCTCGGTGTTTTTAGGCTGGCTCGGATTAGACCGCCTCTACCTCGGCTACCCCGGCCTCGCCTTGGCAAAGTTTTGCACACTTGGTGGTATATTCCTTTGGCAACTCATCGACATCGTCCTTATTGCTATGCAGGTGAGAAGATTTGTTAGTAAAACCACATAGATTTGCTTATATGTAAAAACACATATATACAATATACAAACTTTTCAAAATATACAATTATTTGTGTTATATTATATGTGTCAGAGGATAAAGTAATGTAACGGCAGTACTAGACTCAAAACTCGAAACACTGGAAAGACTCAGTAATTCCTCAAAATCTTGATTATCCTTAATTTTTTTGTCTTATATGTGAAATAATTTTGTATATTTTGGCTTGTGGACGCAGTATTCATAGGTGATGTCATATGTTTGTAACACGTATTCAAACAGTCTTTGTGTGCTTTATTTTGACCATGGTCTTGGAAGAATAACATCTTAGCAGAAAATGCCTATAATAATAGTAATGATTAGAATAAAAATAGGCAGATTAGGCGTACCTGTGGTAGGCTTCCGAAAGGTGCTTATGACGCTGGAACCAATGCTAAGCCCCAGTGTGTTTAATAAGATATCTAAGCCTAGACCAGGCCTCGGACGGGAGACCTCTCGTTTTGCAAGTTGCCAAATATGTTTGAATGAAATGTCTTATGGATAGATCAGTTTACACAAATAGAGATTTAGAGTATTTAGACAATGCCTAACTATTGCCCAATCAGCGACATCGCCCGGATGCCATTTAATTTGGACTGGTGAAGTAATAGTTCTCATCATGCTACGGACAATATTCCTTCAGCGAATGCATCAGTCTTGAGAGGTTTTAATTTTCTGCGTAAATATGCTGTGCCATTCGTTTAAGCTTTGCCGGGACAGGAAGCGTACTTTGAGAGCTACTACTCCAGCGTGTTTTGATTTTCAACAGGTAAAGGGTTGTTTTTTTATATGGTTAAATAAAGTATAAAACTAACACGCATGTTTTAATGACATGTCCTTTTCAGGTTGTTCGTCCAGCCGACGGCTCACAATACGTGGTATCGTATTTTGGACCAAGGCTGACTCGACTCTCACTTAACAATGAAACACAAATTCTACCTCAGGACGATTGGTAACTTCAAGCGTAACGACAGGAGAATTAGTCATACTTGACTGACATGGACTACCCTATAGACTACAAAAGCCGGCTTTGTTACGACCTAATAGAAATGGCCTCAAATAAATTTATCTCGCGTGGATCCCGAAACATTCGAGATGGTTAAACATACTAACAGCAGCGAATTAATAATAAGAATTGGTAGGTGCTTCTGGTCGTAAGAACCAGTAACCGTTGTTGTCTTGCGCGATACTTGGTATCCTAGGTGCGTATCGTAAACATGGTTGCAGTAGTTCACTATTGAAATAAAATTATACAACCGTATAAAGAGAATTTGCCAATATTTTATAGTACCATGGGTACGAACAGCCGGTTCTTCACTAGCGTCGGCGCTTAACCACTAAATACAGCCGTACCTGTTCAGTCGAGCATTAATTTGTGTCGTTCCCTTGGCAGTAGATCTTTATATCTATTAATGACTAATAGTTACCTGCTTGTTGGAACGGATGATAAGGCGAGCTATTATCAATCAATCTCTTGTTGTAATGAGTTTAGATATGGCTTGTCAACCAAAATATACAGCAAAGAATATCACTCTAATAGCCGTTGGTATTTGTTATACCTGAAGATTTATCTACGAGCACTGACAGTAGCCAGGCCACCATACAACATGTGATGCATGAAGTCGCAACAAAACGTTCAGCGATTGTTAATATACGAATGTTCATTAGTTCTGATCTAATTTTTAGCCAAAGATAGGATTCTGTAAGTTTAATTCAACCAGCACATCATATCAGTGTAGGTAGTAAAAACAGTTTTGCTCTTATAAAATCAGTTGCCTTCAACTATGATGCGAAAAGAATAATAAATGCACCATTTAATAATAATGGATGTGAATAAATCTAACCGTTTAAAACGTCATTATTCTATCTTTGTCCGGAACCCACCATGAATAAGCAAAGTTGGCTCCGAATTCATGAGTAACGATGAAGTTATTTTTTGGGCAAATTTGACCTCATATAGAAATTTCGTTTTTCATATACTCTTTTGTATTAAATTGACCACTGCAGTAGCTGCTTGTTGTTTTAGTAATATCAATTACACTTTAGGCAATTGGATTGGTATAGTTTGAACTGATATGATAGGCTGATAATACTCTTAGTTAAGGGAGCGACTAAACTTTCAGAGTATAGAGAAGGGGCAGGCGTGCAACGTCAGCGACAGAGGCAGATGGTTGTTTTGTATACATATGTATATAACAAAGGATACAAATTCAGCGATTGTACATATAGTTTGTGGCAACAACATTAAGCGATTAAAAGAGGCATTTTAATAATAATAATAATAATAAAAAAGGAATCAGAATGCTTGGCTGTGTTTAGTATTACGGTAGGTACAAGAAACTCGATTTAGTTTTTTAACATGTTCTGTAATCGGTAAATTAAAAACAACACAAAACAAGTTATGGTAGGGTTTGCTACGATTCAAAACGCGCAGCGCCGCTTTTTTGACAAAAAGGTGAAACCCATCGTTAGTGCTGATGGCAAATAATTCAGCGTGTACAAATGAAAAACCTTGTAAATGGTAACAAGTTTTGGCGAAAAAAGCGTTGAAGTTTAAAGCTCAGATTTTATAAATATATATACAATCTACCCACTGCTCAAACTCACCATTTTGTCTCAGTACTGGGTTACACACACATAGTGCTATTTTATTTTCTATTCAAAAGTCAACGTAAAATTTGGACATGTTTTAATTCGTAGATTATGCAATTCATCTAGTTTATATTATAATAATAGAAAAGTACGGGTAATCACTGATACCGTTAATGACCAGAAAGTGCCAAGTTGTTGCCCATCGTAGAACGATGCAGGCAATGTTGCATTCGTCCACATACATGTAAGCAAATGTTCAAAGAAGAGAAGAATTTTCAATGGTCAGTCTTAGATATAAAAAATGACTTTTATTACTGTAGCGTATTTTAACAATATGTGCTAATTAAAAGTGGCATAAATATATTTAAATTCAATTATGACACGAGTTGCATATGACTTGATGAGAGATGCGTATGCGTATCCTTCACATGACTAAAGAGAAATTATTTTTTCTAGAAAAGACGTCTATCTTTTTCCTCTAATCTATCCAAAACAGGTCACTAACCCTATTCAGGATAGTAAAGGTATTTATCGTTTCCGCTTTGTAAGTGAACTTTTCTTTGTGCTCTCTGATCGGATTAAGCTTTTTTATTAGTGAGTTTTTACGTCCTTTTTTTGATCGTAGTCTAACTGCTCTTTCTTTGTCCCTACTGATCCTTTAATTTTATCTGCTCACAATGAGAAAAAAATTGAAACCAACAGGCGGCAAAACGATATGTTCAGCTAACAACCGGTAATCTTATCGATTGTGCTATCGATTGATCTATCGATTTGGTTCACGTTCTGCTGCAACCCAAAGAAATGCGTACTTATAGGTACGTATTAAACTAGATCGTTCAGTATGAAATGCGAAATGATAGACTGTAATTCTTCCAGGTTTCTTCACAAGCAAAGTTAATTTGTTTTCGGTCAATGTATTATTATCTATGATTTCCTGCCATTTGTATTGTAGCTTATTTACTCTACTGTTGCAAATGTCTGAGGTACCCGAACCTGAAAAATGTTGAAAGACAATTTCAACTTTATACACAACGCTAAATTGTCTTTAAACAATTTATGAATGAAATGAATTGGATTTAAACAATTTGAGAGACTGCCGAGATAACCATAAAGAATATCTGAGGGGCAAATGATTGGTATGGTGGAAACCAGAAAAGCTCCAATCGTAGCTCCTGGGTATTCGCAGAGCCGTAATTGTTAATGGTCGAGCGTTTTTGAGCAACGGGAGTCGTTTAATGCATGGTTCGTTTACCATTGCGAATATGCTTCACCCGTAATTAATAAACCTGACTTAGTTGCCCTAGTGAACAGCACTTAGACCAATTAATAAACGCCATACGTTATTGCGGGCGATGGTGATGTCTCGCCGGTTCAGTTATATCCATTTACTGATGAGACTGCCTTCTATTATCGCAGAAAATCCATTTTCATCGAAAGTCAAAATTTAGTGCAAGAATGAGAATAAAGAAAAAATCAAGAAGCAAGCGTCTCCATTCATTTATTTTTAAGGTTCGATCAAATTGTGCGGTAACCATTTGTTATGTTTGTTAACCTCATTATTTTGACGTAGGTGAGCAAGTATAGTAAATTTACATGCACGACATCTGAGTGCTAACGCCCGTAGACTCTGAAACGCTTTCGGTCGGCTTTCGCTATAGTTTTGAACACTTTGCTAATCGTATTCGTGTTAGGGCTTCTATGGGACTCATGATCAAGTTCAAAGTTTATTTCCTGTTAGCTCTTATAATGCCAATGGCTCACGGTGCTTCTAGAAGTAAACCCTTTACCTAACAAAAGGTTTATACGGTGAGTTGTCTCTGCTGTTATAACTATAAGATTGAACTCACATTTGGAAGCCACTGAACATTTAGGATTTTGCGTCCACTACTGCAGTACTCTTGCTAAAAGCCCGAACGACTACGGATATGAGTGAACGATTTCAGATTGCAAAACCAAATTCAAGTTCAAATGTAAGTGAAAGGCAAAAAGCAATGTCATCAAAGGTCGCATTGTTATAAAAGATCGCCATTTTTAAATATGAGATTAAAATTTCTCGCATTTCCTACTGTTTACATTTATAGATGTCGATTCCGCAGCTGAAATACTCGTAATCCTTACGTGATGTTAATACAACTTTCGTTTCAATTTCGATTCAAAAAAGTAAATACAAGTATGAGATGCAACATGTTCATCCTTTCTTCTTCGGGACAGACAATCTTGAAGAGGACGGATATGAATACCACATGTATTTTCAATAAAGTCCGCAAGTGCTTCAGTTTGACCGCCTCCGTATGGTAAGTCCGTTAGGACGTTGCATCGTAATGTGACGAAACTTTGCGGTACTTAGAAAAATTAGGCTGACAATTGGACAAAGAGGATGTGTATGATTTTGACGTAGAGGCGCATGTGTGATTGCAACGCTAGTGACCCTCGCACTTGTTGAGCTACGCTTCCTCCATAAACAAATAGGCAGAAAGATTTAAGGTGTTAACATTGCCACCGTCGGGTGTGCTGGGTTGGTCGCCTAATTGCCTTACAATATTATTGTGGCATTGTGGCGACCTGCATTATTTGCCAAACTGCGATCAAGTGTAAAGGGTGATTTGTATTTGAAAAAAAATGGCAACGCCAAGGTCTATGTACGCTTTGTCACCGGGACTTTGCTCAGTTCTTCAGAGCGCTGTTGAACGTGCTAATGAGTTATCTGCTAATCCCACTAAACGGCGTGAATTTATGTGCCGCTTTGATAGTGAATTCGCAAGTGCAACGACCGAAGCACGTTATCAGAATTTATTTAGAAAAATTGTTACCTGGTTACAAAATATTCCTAATCTGGACATGCCACAACGGTAAGCATTATTGTAATGTCGCTTTAGCAGATATGTAGAGTCTAAGTGACACTCCAATTTGCAGAATTACAGGACTGTCGTTATTCAGGCTGGAATATATGAAAAAAATGGTAATTGCTTTTCACACAAGAGCTCTGCCGCCTGTTATAAAGCCGACAGCTTCCTAGAATAATCCACACAAAAATGCTTGGCCGTAATTCAATCATCTCTAACAGTAGATATTCAATATTCTCTATCATTTTTCATAAAATTCATCATGAAGAATGCTTACATAAACAATTGAGATTATGGCTGATATGACTTTTTAAGGAAACTAGAGTAAAAATCACACTGCTACGTTCGTGCAAAATACATTTTGAAATGTCACTAACTCGTATGCAGGAGAAAGATCTTTCTGCAAGATTATATTTTAGTACACCCTAGAATTACTACATATTGAACAAAAAATTATAAAAACAACAGTAAAAAGGACATTGTAGGCGCTGCAACGACAAATGCACATGGTGTAGCAAATCGATGACTGATCCTATCATATAGCGTCTATACACGTGCACATGTTCGCAGAGTTGTTAGCCCACAAACTTTGCAAAGGGTTAACATGGTTGCATATAAATAATAACGATAATAATAATAATAATATTATTACTAATTGTAGTTTGCTGATAAAACTCAGCAATTGTATTTTATTTACGTGTAGAACTACGGATGTGCGTCTCGGCCTAGTACTAATAATAGCAATTTTCATTCAGTAAGCACTAATAACATACTTCGAACCTTCGTATCTACTAACAGCGTTGAGGAGTTACGAATGGCGGAACTAGCTGGTGCTGGCATTCTGGTGATAATTAAGCTGCATTGTGCCGAGGTACAGCCATCGTTTGAAGACTTACTTGATCAAATCGAGGATGCGTTTAGTGCGCGCCTTATGGCAGCTCAAACTAAAGCATCAAAACCGCCATCAGAAGACATCCCATCCCACATCCTAAAAGGTTAGATTTAGGTTGTCGAGTATGAAAGCATACTTATTTAATGTACCTCCCGATAGCTACGTTGCTCAATAGAGTATCCTTTCAGTGTGAAATAATCGACCACTGCGACAGTTTTCATCTTTTCGCGCTGAAAAGCCAAACTAGTAACTGTACTGTAACATTTTGCGTGATTTTCCATGAAGTGAATTAGTTTAGATACGCAGCAGATAGGTAATATAAGCTTATATTAATAAGTCAATGTAATTACAGCAAACGAGTTACTGAGTATCAGTTGAAAATTGAATTTTGCATATAAAATTTTATGCACGATATACTGCGTCTTGTCTTTTCTTCGATGGGGCTTCGTCAAGGCTTCGACGGTCTACTTTGTGACGGAGAGTTTCAATGAAAAATAGTTCCCTTTACAACATTTCTTGATTCATTTACGAGCCAGCAGTTATAGAAAAAAGGAGCCGAGAGCACATTGATATTTATATTGTGGTCAAGTCTAACGATATCTACTAGATTAAAAAGAAAGTATATATATAGTACGGGACATTCCAATTCGAACAAACTAAGACGGGCTGTTTGTCGTAGCGGGCGTACATTCGCTATTCTTGGGACCAGAAAAAACTTGTTTCCTTCCGGAAAAAACAGCAAACTTATTATGGCGAAAAACAGTTTGTAATCTGAAGCGAAGATCAGTTATTATCCAATGTGTTTACAAGGAACAAACCCCCAACATGATAATAAATTGATGGCCTACGTTACAGCAAATTTTTGTGCGGCTTTTTGCAATTTGAAGATTTTTAAGAGCCAATCGTAGGATGTTCGACAGCGTTTACATCTACAAGGTTCAGCAATTTATCGAAATAACCTAAAAAGCCATTTTTTGCACACATGGATTTTCTTCTATAGAAATATCGGCCGTTTTGAAAGGCGGATTTTCTGCTCTAGCGGGTCATCCAGATAGGCTCCAACAGCTGGACCTTTTGGGACTTTCTGCGTTTTTTTTACTTATTGGCTGCTTTGAGTTGTTGCATTTTCAGGACTTTTGGGCGTGTTATCTGTTCAGAATATAATTCTGCTGAAATTTTTTGTACCATATTCGAATGACAGTTTAACTAATATCCTTTGATACCCGGCAACTTTAAAAAAGTTGTTTTCGAATTAAAGAGGGTATATTTTAAAAATGACTAGTAAGTGATTAAGCGCCTAAATTGAAGATGTAATTGAGGTGCAAGGTGCTCATAAATGGTTGAGTAAATACGACGGTTAGGCATGGCATTTAGGCAACAAAAAAGTCGTCAAAATGTCTATCGTTGCTTCGATATAGTTTTAAGGTCTCTTTCTAATAAAAAGTTCCGATTTATGTCCCAGCTTATATATATATGCGATTTGTAGTATTTTCGATAACATTGCATTGATGTTCAACTAAAACAGAGCGTCCCGGTTCTCTGGCCAGTATACTTAAGGAAGCAGGAAAGAAAGCAGCTGCAATTTCTGCCCAAATAGAAGAATCACTGGTGGATGCAGAAAGACGCGACGCTGAATCTCAACTTGATGTAACAAGTGCGAATGTTGTCCCTGCAGAACAGGTAACGCTACCTGAAGATTATGCGATCGATCTGGACGACAACGAATTTTTCACCGGTTGGTAACTAGTGAACTTTGAGTTGTAATATATAGCTCGAGTACTAGTATGCTTAGCACAGACATTTCTGAAGGCGTTCTGCCTCAATATATTAGGTCGTTCAGCATAGAATCCGAGAAATATTAATCTTGTATTTTAAAATCACCCTTTTATATAAGAGTACGGCACTTTTTCGTATTTTTCAGATGCGCTTATACATTTTAGGACCCTCACCCCGATATGATTACTAAAGATTTTAGCACGCGGGTCGCAGTGAGCCATAGAAAACCCTCTACAAAAGTGAATGATAAACCGTTGAGAGCTATGATTAAAAACGCACAAATGATATTACTTATATTTAGCATATGTAGAAAGACCGTATGTGTATTTCAGGGTCAGATAAATAAGGTACACAAATTGGATCAAAGGGTGTAGCAAAATTTAAACCAGGAACAAAAACGAAGACGTAGAGAGCCTTGCTTGTTTTTGCTTTGTTAACCATTTACTCAAAATTCGTCATTTCCCTTTATTTTATAGACTGTCGTGCTCCAAACTTTTTCAGTAGCGAAATATGTATTATGCTAAGTAGAGGGTTCTTGTTATTCTTAGCTATATTAATTTATTTTAACTTCTGAAGTAGCGAACATCTCTTACCCAAAATATTGTCGTTCACTTGCTATGACCTTTGCCCAGTTTTCTGGTAGCCACTATATCCCACGAAGGTAGAAAAGAAGCTCCGTCTTTGGAAGCGATCCATTTGCGAAGCTCAGCCTATGCTTGGAAGTGTTTATTTTCTTCACCATGCCGTAGTGACAGAAACAAGTGATGTTTAGATGAGGCGATGTCTGGACAGTAGGAGGCGTAGCATTGTCATGTATAGCAATACCATTCTGCGTTGTCTATTGCTTGTCCAAGGGCCTTTTTCAGTCAAGTTCGTGGCTCAGACGTATGTGTTGGTTTATGTAACTCGTTCTTATAACCCTCTCTTTTAAGTAGTCTATAGTGAGCACTTTTTTCTTATAGCATCATATGCAGAGGCACAGTTTTCGACTATGATCATTATTTCGTAGTGTTAAATTGGAGGGCTCTCCGGAGTTTAGTCGTCTGGTTTTCGTTTAAGATTATTGTCAAAAATCGGTTTTCCGTCGTTAGTGACGATTCTGTCAGAATTGACTTTCTACTAAAGCCATATTATCAACCGGCTAGCGCTGTCAGCGACTTCGAGCAATCTATTTGCCCCTACTTTTTTTTCAGCATGAGTATAGTGAAGCGACAATGTCCGATACATGTTCTTTTCGAATTCCGCTTTCTGTTTTTCCGCTTTTCGAGTTACAACTCTGACGACAGCAGCCCAGTAAAGACGACAATCACAACCATCCCCGTGGGAGATTCCAGCTACATCGGTCAGCCCACATTAATGCCGTCTATCAGCTCCAACGGGAATTGACTAGCCAACCTAATAAATTACCCTTCAAATGGCAGCAGATCACCTATATTAAAAGTTAGATTGAAAATAGAAGAACTCTGGTTCTGAAAGAAGTTTCGAGAATTAGAGTTTACTGATTAATATATGATCCTCAACGACCTTAGATTATATATTGGGTTACGCTGGGATGTGCCAGCTGTTGTATAAACAAAACTATAAATTAAGTGCCTAAATGTCTTATAATAATTATCGAGTGAAGAATTTTATAGCATCTGAGCTAATGCTCTATCAAGGACGGGTGATCTGATCCATGTAGAGATGAAGTGATATCTAATAAAAAAAGGGAAGGATTGTCCAAGTAGCTCAAAACGCAGCGCGTGGCGAAAAGGCGAAAGCCACTGACCAAAACCATTATAGTTCGTGTTGTCAATAGTTGTAGTGAACAACCAGTTGCTCTAAATGATTACGGGTCTTCTTTTGACAAATCTATAAAAGTTCCTCTTAACTAGATGATTTTACCTTTTCTAAAAACTCAATGAATGTATTACCTGTTCAGCTCACAATGGTTTTAAAGCCTATACATGTTATTACACATTTACACTATTTGATTCAAGTGCAGCAAACTTTTTACGATGGGCTAAGTTAAACTTTTAAACAACAACTATCCTTTTCGTTAGGGTGCTAATTTGAATCCTGTGTCACCATGTCAATGGTTACGAATGTTTAAACTAGTACATTTTTTTTCGGGAGTACAACGAAATCGGTATAATGATGCAATTCTCGCTGAGCTGTAAGGATCAGATAAAGGCTGGAGCTCTCGAGACAATTTTCGTTATGCGAGAGTACTAGAAAGAAGGTATCTAGGGGCACTTTCAGAGCATCCTTTAGGCGCCGTTGTCTTCAAAATATCTCCTGCATGCTTTATAATCCAGTTATGAACGTGGTTACATGCAACAAAAGCTTTGGCCACGTAGTGTCCTGCCTTCGAAGGTCTTCTGAAAAGCCTCTTCCGGCAGCTTTTTTTTCCGTTGCCATAACTCCTTTTTGAAACGTAAGATCCACCAGAAGCTTCTAGAGAAAGGTGCATACATCCCCTGCTGGTGGCATAATTATAGTTAAATATTCCTTTCATATATATATAAACATTGCACGATGCTTTGTGTTATTATTTTCCAGATATCAACGATCTTTTGGAAGACGATGGGTTCGGAGCACCACTTAGTATTCCGCAAGTGGTTGTGGTGTGTATGAATTATTAGCTTAAATAGTAATTTTAGTTACTACCATTATCAACTAAACAAACAGAATATAGACAGTAGGTGTATCACATTTTCAATTCAGGCTAAGCCTTTCTTAACCTATCGTATATTTTGCATTTCTGAAAAAAATTTAATATGAAGCTCGAGAATATACCAAGCCCATCTAGGATATGTAAGCCACTAGAACCCCTTAACATAGCTTTCTCCCAGGGTGTGTAATAATGAAAATTCTGAGATCCCCATTTTTCGAAACGCTGATCTGTAGTCTTACATGCGTACCGCGATATTGCATCATAAACAGTAAGAAGGATTAAGCTGGTATAAATGAAAAAAATGATTCGCCAATTGAGCTTTTGTTATTAAATTTCGTTGTGGCAGATGCTACTGCTAATAACAAGTAGCTCTAAGAGAAGTAATTGTCTCTAATAATAGCATACATAATTAATACTTTACAAGACTTCGCCGCCTGAAAAATCAACAGTGTTTGAAACGTCTTCCGGCTTTGACATCTACGCCAATGAGGCGACACTGCATGTTGACGTAACGCAGCTACTAGAAACAAAGGTGGTATGTAATGTTTAGTGTTTATATACTAATTATACCGTCGTTCCCCTTTTACACATTACAAGTATAGCCTGGTAGGAATTTCTAAATATTGTTTCGAGTTTAGCACGAGCTCATCAGTATACTCGATCTCTCTAGGTAAATAGACGAATTTATTTCCCCAGTAGCGGCATAGCAATAGTGTTCCTTGGGAAAATCATCTAGTTCCTTTTTTCGTGATTGCTAGCGGGTCGAAGGATTATACTTATAAAAGCTTCCAGCTTGGATGAAGCGCTTATCTAATCAAAAAAGAACGCAACAGGTATCGTTCAGATTTTCTTGTAATTATCATTTTCAATGTCCTAGGTTCTTGCTGTCCTCATTTTAAAGACGAAAAGGAAGCCTATCGCTGAGGACTTCTTAGCCAGATATTGATACGGTTGCTGATATTAGTGGGTTCTACTTTGTCGATGTTTCTGTAATAAGGAAGATATGGTTTTCGAAGAAGCAGCACTAAATATTGCAAAATAGTGCGGTTTTACAGGATGATCCTTTTGTGGCCTCAGACTGCATTCCAGCTATCAACTGAGCTTTTTTACAAAATGCGCTTCATGTTTTCCATCGCCTTGTGCAATTATATTAATTTATTTTAATGTCTTGTTGGAATGCACGAAGGTTGTTGGGGAACAACATCCACCCGCAGACTCTTTCGTGCTGGAGCCGCTGGACACGAGACCAGTTCCTCCAAGCAGGCAACCTCGTAAACGCATCGTTTCTGACGCAACGACAAAATTAACTACCCTGGACCTGCAAAGACAAATTCAAGACACTTCAGATATTGTGAGAAGCCTGCCCGATGATCGAGCAGCGGTTATTAGGTGAGAATTTGTCTGAGCTTAATTTAATGATGGAATTCGTAGGAATTAATAAGTTTTTTGCACTGATAATCATTTACGATTCTAAAATGGCTCCGACATTGACCGTCAGGAGTCGGTAGATATTTTCTTTATCTAGATTTTTCGGCGCCTTGCTTATAGTGATGAGTATCGAGTTATGATAACTTGAGCACGTGCCGCGCACCTTATAATACCAGTGGACTCACTCTAGTAAGACAGCTTCAAAATGAGTACAATTAAGACTGCTCTTTAATAAACGCATATTGCTGAACAATTTGCTTACGTAGAAAAAGAGTTAGCTTCAAACAGAGAAAAGGCTGATGGTTATATTTAAGCAATTATCAACACGGTAGATGTAGTTCTGTTTCGTAAAAAGGTGATCATGGTCTAATTTAAGAAATTCTAAAATTTACAAACCAATGTATTCGATAAGTTGCTTTTCGATTCCTCATTACTTTTGCATGATTTTTGTGGTATAGATACGTTCGAATATTTTATTGCTAGAAACATACGAGGATGGAAAACGGCGGCCGAACTTCTGCATCATGGCTCCAATGTGCCGCGGAAAGGGAGTACCCTACAAAATGAAGTGTTGGAGGCGATGAATTTACCAAAGCGGGTTCAACCAACGCCTGCTAAACAGGCTCCGATGGGTGACGAAGGAACAATGCAAACCGATCACGAGGACGACTTAGGACAGTCGTCGTTGGTTGTTCCTGGGGAGTCAATGCGGCAGGATGAAACGAATATTCCGCCGACTGATGCTCCGAGAGAAACGTTGGAGTCTTCTTCCCTCCCACAAGCTTCACGTATTGATACTCCTTCTTTTGAGCCCTTATCGGCCACTCGAGAAGGTTCTGTTCCCACTATTTTTGAAGGTTTCCAGGAGAAAACCGCATCAGATGCGGCGCTTGCGGGTACACCGCCAGACGCTACAATGCAAATTTTCGTCACGGTAAGTGAGCAACGTTAGGTTGAATATCGTCAGGTTTGGCTATTTTTCCTGATTTACAAACCTCTCGAAGCTATAAGAAATTCGGCCAAGCTCATTAGAACAATGGTTATAACTCTCGTATTAATATTTAGCGAAATGTCTTTGAATATAAATATAGGGCACTTTGTAGAAGCTCGTCAATTTTAGCGTTTTTATCATTTTTTGCACGTTTCGCCCATTCTGTAGGACATACCTCCAACTGAAAGGTCGAGCGATGAAGAAACAGTTATCATAAGATCCGAAGAAACCGAGAGGTCAATTGACGAAGCAATGCGGATTAGAAATAGCCAAGATCTTATAACCCGCGCGATCAGGTAAAATTGCACTGCTGAAAATAACAACCTGTTACTTCGAGATTAGTAAGAAGATCTAAATACCCTTAACAGCGGTTTAGAAGACTCAGAAATGATACTTACGATTTTTTCAAATCAATATGTGAATGATTTTTCTTTCGAAGAATTTGCTTGAATTAACCGCGAAAAGACGTTGCTATATAATTACCGCCATAAAGTTCTATATGGCAAGCTAGGCAAGGTGATTCGGCGGCACTATAGAACAGAAAAGATTAAGCCAAACAATATACTAATGTGCGTGCAGATGTGCCTGAAAATAATCACATTAACCAGTATACCAAACTGCGAAGAGGTTTTTTGGAAGTCACTTATATGCTGGATAACTGGAAACAGATTTCCAGTTTTTATTATATTGAAACCAAGTGAAGTTAAAATCGACTAAAATTTCAAGTTAAACTTTACATGAGAGTGAGCTACGGAGGGCAGACTCGACAGCAGAAAATTCCAGATTACGCCTTCGTATCAAAGTGCTCATGGCGGGAAACGTTGGAAATGTTTCAAATGTTCAAGTATGTTTACATTAGTTTCAAAACAAATTTCAGTTTTTTATCTAAAAAAAAACTTTAATGACCTCTAGCAAAGCTATCGAGTTTGACCGGTTGAAGGTATTTGAAGTCTTTCGATAAGGCATCTTGCTTGACCTCTCTCTCTTGTATTGTGAGTATAAACCAGCTATACAAAGCCCACGTAACGCGAAAAAATCTAATGCTCTTGTAAGGCTCAATTTTCTGCGACTATATTAAAATGCTCATTAATAACACTGTCAACACAAGCAAGCTATTTGGTAAGTTTTTTTTTGTAACTACTGCATCGTTCTACTGATTGATTCGAAAATGAAGCAGCACTAGCCAACCTGAGTCGAATAGGAGCTTGAAGTAGCACTAAAAGCGTATCTGGTAACGTTTCAGTATGATGCCGTTGCTCATAATTTCACTTTTTTAATACATAAACCGGAGAAAAACTCGCTTGTACGTCTTATGTAGAGCCTCATGTACGACGAAGGTTTTAAGTATGGAGGATACTAAAGAAAAAGTTGGATGCTAATGACCATTACCGTATAGTATACAGAATAAAAACTCAGGAGGATAAAATCAGCAAACAATGCAGCATACGCCTCGGTGTGTATCTGCCAAAAAATTATTCTAACAGAAACGTAAGTCTTTCCCTAACGAACACGTAACTCAGCACGAACATGTCGCTATATTTCACACATTTTCTCAATAATCCACGGCAGATTTGAAAATGAGATCTTTGACTGATAGCTTTGCGGTGCATTCTGCAAGGATTTCCAGTGACACTATCTGCAGAGCGTAAAAACGGGCTAATCATCGAGTGTCATTGGGGAGGGCAACGTTTTTAAAAATTTGTTAGAACTGGGCAGAGTTACTGAAGCTAAAAGTGGTGTTTGGGCCGAGCCGTGGACCAGGAATAGAATTTCGAGAAGCTCATATTTGGCCACTTGCCAGTGATTATTGCAGACAACCTAAACCAACCATTACGGTACTAGAATGACCCTAATTTGGAAGACCAAAGAAAATAATTGTAGGTTTATAATGTAACCGATAATCTACCTCAACTTATAGGTATAACTACTCAACCGCATGTAGTACTAATATCTTTTTAGGTAAGTATTGCCGATTAAATTGGTTGATCTTATATGCCCACTTATGTGTTTTTAAAGAATCTATACAGTTTGTTGATTTAATGATACAGTGATTTTCAATGTCCCAGTGTCTTCCTACATTGTTATGTAGGAGAAATACACCAACAGGGGCAAGGTTCTTCAATGGATTGCTACAGGAGTACAGAATGGTATTTTAATAAGCAAGGTAGCAAACTAGCCCAAGTATTTTGAGCAGTACTCGATTTAGGAGCGATAGATTGATATTTTTGATGTCGTCAAAAGCATATTTTAATATACTAATTAGCGTTTTCGAATCCCCCTATTGGATGGGAAAGTACCGCAGCTGATTAACACAAATACGACCTGCGACAGAAGCACTGATACAGTTAGTGTACTTATGTAACACTCTGAAAGAGTTTCAAGGTCCAACTGTTGATCCTACGGAGTCACAAGACGCGGTCGTTGTCAATGTCATGAAGTTCTCTCGAGAAACCGTCTTTAAGAGGCTGTGAAAGACGAACACAATATACAGTGTTACTATATCCAAAAAGCAAACCGGCGTTGGTGCAAATCCGACAGTTATCTATGCAAAATTTTAAGGGAGACGATTAAAGAACCACGCAAGAAAGAACCTCTAAGTGTTCCTGCGAACTACAGGCCAGTAGCATGGGATTCTATTTCTTGTGACTTCATGGCAGGAATCTATCGGTTCATCAATGTGGGTCTGCAAAGGGCCCTTCTCATTTACAACGAACTACAACCGTGGCACGGGGCAACGATTTTTTACGCTGTGTGTGTTTCAGTATTCTGTGTTTTTTAGCAAAAATGTCTAAATTTACCAGCATATGAAGGTCATGAAGTATCTCACAGGTAACGACTGGTACAGCGAATCATTGACTATGCGTCCAAATAAGTTACGTATTACCGGCCCAAACTGCAACAGCTCATGTTCATCTTTGCCTGGCACTGAATTGCTTGCTGAAGGCATCAAATGTGTTATGAAGCCATTTTGAAATAAAGAAGGAAGTCAATCGGATCAATCCACGCTATCCATTAGATGTGGTCAGATCTGGAAAAACCATAAAACACTGTTGCTTACTTATAATCATACATACGTAAAACTAACCATCAGAATGTCTAGCGATGCTTCTTATGAGATAATTCATCTAACCCTTTTTGTTTTTGCTTATAGGTGCAACGGCGAAAGATACACAAACCCGAGAAATGGAAAAGTTGTTCCCTATATAGCTTTCTCAGACATCCCTAAAACTGGCTTGTGCAACGAAGATCATTTACCAACACTTATGAGTGATCTTATGGTCCTGATTAAGTTAGGAATCTTCATATGCATCCAACAGGAGACTGCAAACGAATCCAATGACCTATATATTTTTCTAAGAAAAAAACAACTGGAGTAATCAGCCGTATGGCTGGTTTAGAGCTGTATTGTCGTACATTTAACAATATGTGTTAAACGGTCTTTGTTTATATGTGGCACGTGTATACGTATGATATTGTGGTTATAAATGCATTTGTGTATAATCGTAACTCAATCGTGAAGATGTTGCAAATAGTGTAGCAATCATGATCGATTTTGTAGAAGCAAATCTTCACGATAAATTGTCTATTATAATTGCGACACAAGGACAAAACTGTGCACATCAGGTTTATAAGATTGACATAGGTTCTCCAGGCTAGTCGAATAGATTTAGTCGGTGTTTTTTTAGAATACATAAAAACTCATTGGCTGTTTTATGGCACCAGTATAACACAGGTCCTTTCTCATTGTAATTAATACAACTGCAGTAGTTTAAATATAAACTAGGCTTGATGATAGGCATTTGTGGTTCCAAGACTTCATGTGAGAATTTCTGTGATTGAAGATGTCCCCTGCAAAACTTGTTAATCCGCCTGAATCTAATATCATTTATACTGTTTCTCCTAACGTTATGTGTCATAATCTTAACTAACACTGTAGATTTCTAAAATACAAACTCGAAGGTTTGAACAGGACCCATTTCATCAAATTCACTATTTTTACGTTCCTATTTTTTTTTTTAAATCTCGTGTTATGACAATTCGTTTTGGAACTCAGCATGTTCATTAATCAAATTCAGAAGATTTGTAGCCTAGAACTAACCTTCCCATATATGTAACCAGTACCTGGGCTGAGTTCCAGGTCTGAATAGTTTCCCTAAAATTTCATTAAAAGATCTTTATTGCTATGGTGTAGTGCATTGTTGACATCCTTACAGTTACCAAACATGGTAGAACCAAATCGGGTCAAATAAAGGCATAGAGTCAACCACAAGTAAGAATAACTTTAAACAAAGTTATTCTTATTTGTCCTTTTTTCTACTAAATACGACTAAATAAAATTCTTACGATTGTCAGATATAATTTGATACGTCGAAATATTTTTATTCAACATATAACGTTAATGTTAATGATTTTTCGTCTTTAAATAGATATAGCTTTTTAGATCAACATTTTTTCATACATATCCACGAATATAGCTGATATTAAATGGGATAATTAGACGTTTTGCCACGACCGTTACTCTTTGCATTTGCCTAAATCCAAAAATATATATATTTGTGGCACTCAGATGTTCCCAAGCATTCAAAATAAAATCGCGAAAAAATAATACACTACTTATGAGACATCAATTACGTACTGATTTAATGTAAGTTAAAGCTTAAGTTCTAAAACTGGGCATTATGAAACTTGTCTACGAAATGTATGTACACATGTTACATGCAATGTAAGAACAATTCTATAATTATCATTCACGGTCATGTAATTTTAGTACTTGACTGTGAATCTGATTTTACTATTTCTTCTAATTCATAGAAAATGCGTTGGGCAAAATTCAGATAACAAGTCAATAAAACGTACCTTTGAGTAACGAGGTTGCTGATGCAATACCCGAAAAGTAATTTAAAGAACTTGCAGGGAACAATCGGAAAGTAAACTTCCTTCGTTTGGTTTAACATTTGTGTCGCGCCTAATTTTAATCAACGCGGTAGTTAAATAAGCCTATATGTCTCGAGTTTTCACGTCCAGCGTTATAGCCGATGGGCATTCGATCACTTTATCAGATGGTGGCTGCCGGCCCAAAACGGAACTGTGCCTATACCCAGGCTCGAACCTAGTCCCCACCCTAGATCCTAGAACATGTGTTCTAGGATTGAATTGCTTCTTCTGTAACTAGGTAAATAACTCTCAGCAAATCGACGAACAAGCGGTGTCGTGCAAAAGAGCGTTTTCCCCCTAGGATCGTCGCGGGGAATTAAACGCCGTCATCACAGGCAAGGCAACTTAGTTTCGGGGTCGGCACGTCAAACAGTATTGGTTTGCTATAGGAGGACCGCTATAGCGCACTTGCAAGCGAACGAGCTGGCGGAGCCGACCACCTGCAGAGTTACGGAGCGGTTGCCTGCATGATCGTAAGACACGCTCGGCTCCTCCGTTCCCACGATGCTTCCGGCAATCGCTTTCACGACAAACACGACGGTAAACGAAGCCTTACGAGCAACTTTAAGTTGATCGATGGGTTCAAAACCGCATTTCTACATCTTAACTACAATATTTGATTTATTACATAATTTTCTCGCTGTGTGTTGAGGTTATCACAATTCAATACATAGGTGATGTACTGATAAAAAGTTACCAACTACTGTTAGTCGCAACAATATAACTAGATCAAAGATCTAGGGTCCATTTGGTTACTTAGGTAGAATTCTATTAAAAAGTTGTGGCCCTTGAGTAAAAGTTCTAGATATCCCGGGGAACTTTATCTCTTCCAAAAAAGTTCCAATCGTTTTCATTTTGGATCGAAATTTAGAGCGGAACATTAGACCCATTCGATCGAATTGAAAATGTTCGCCTAAAGGTTTGAGAAAGGGAAAATTTTCTGAAATATAATATAAAAGCATTACGCGTTATGTATAATCAAATACTGTAGTTGGTGTAACTTTATTATTTATTTAAATGTGACGTAGTACCAATATGAATGGCTATAATAAATATGTGTTAGGTTCAAAAGAAAATTACGTATTGTCTACGATTTCATATTCACGATTAAGCCTGTGTCCTTGTCCTTTGCGTTATGAAATCGAAGATATAATTTCACGTGAACATCATTGTGACTTCAAGCATGCTGACCTCTACAGTTGAAATTTGGATAGCCATTAGGCAATTTTTTCTCCCGTAGTATAATCCCGTATCAGTGAGAGACTGAAGGAAAGCACTGTTTTGAGGAACAGGGCTGGATCCTTCGAAGTGATACCTCACATTCACCAGAACTCTGGCTTTGTGGTAGCTATCGAAAGGTAAGTTACACTGTGAGCTTAAAAACGGGTGGATTGGGTCAAGGTAACAGTGAATCTGTGCAATGGCTTTTTTTCTGGTAAGGACGCTCGTCCTAGTCTAATTAAATCGTCTTAAGAATCCCCCTACAAAGATGATTATTTACATAGCATTACCACTCATTCCTAAATAAGTTTTAATTAATAAACATGCTGATTTGGGCATTACACATAGTATACAGCGAAATAAAATGTTTCTGAACTTTGCTATTTACATGACATAACGTCAAACCAAACGATACAAACAAACACTGTCTTGTATATAACAATATTGTGTTACGCTCGTTGCCCTTAAGTTATTTGCCGGAGCGAGAGACTCAACTACCACTTTCGGCAGTTTCAAAACAACAGTACGTAATATCGAACGACAAATTCTTCATTAGTTACGGTTTGTTTTTAATAAACGTGTTGTTACTACTCCAGTGCAGTGTATTTACATGACCGAAATTTGCATTCTCGTGCAGACATCCACATCTGGATGGCTGCTGTTAGCCCCTCTAAAGTGAGGGTATGACATCAAACATCTGAACTGATATATTCTTGCGGTCTGTTAACGGAGAAGCTCATTCGAAGTTTGTCATGGAGAAATGATACAGATGTACACAGGTTTACGGATTTGTCCTCTACATTAGCAAGAAGCATCATTGAAGAAGCCGACTTGACAATTACGATGGTCATTTGTATCATAGTAATAATATGAACATAGAAATAATGATGATAATCCTCATTACATTTGATAGTTTTTATTTTTTTTGCTATCGGTTAGGTTAGTCGTCAGTTATGATAGGTTATACATTTAATTGTATATATAGCAACAACTTGCTTTATTGAGGCATATTAACAATTGTAATTAGATGCCTATTATAATTTTAGCCTTTTTTTTTGTTTTCCAATGGATTAAAGGCAATAAACCAGTTGCTCATTCGAGCGCTCGGTTGTCTTCGACAACAACTAACATCTACGACCGCTTCGCAGGGTAGTGCATTCTTCTTTTCTTCAGTGTGGTTTATAAATGATGCTTGCAAATTGCCACTTTCCTAACTTATTAAGTAACTTGAAATACTTTACAGTGTGATTGACTACTGGAATGGAATGATCGGCTAGAACTGAGGCATGCGACGAAAACATCCAATCCGTTAGGTAGACCCGGGATTTAGTGGATCCTGTAGTAAGTTCATTCAAGCTAAAACTACTGCTCGGGGTTTCCACAAGAACTGTTTCATACTGACAATAGAGAAACTTTTCGGCCACGCGCCTCTTTCGCCGAGTTGTACTATGAACCACAAACGGGAAAGTTTTAAAGCTACCGTGCAATACGGACTAGTTTGCAGTGGGCTAGTAGCAACTAGTGCCTCTTTTTGGTATTATAGTGCTAGTAGTAGTGGTAACAATAGCTATCGATCTATACGCTTGATACTACGTAACGACTTTATATCGCAGCAATATCTCGTTCTGTTAACACGAACGTTTCTATCATTCCCATAGTGTTCAATAGCCGTTCTGCTGTATAGCTTCTCCTGTGGGGCGGGCATGGGAAGGTAACCTGGTGCGCCTCTGACTTCAGATGAATAGTACGCAATTTGTTATGTGTGATATTTTTAGGAACGTTCAACTACTTCGCTGTGTTTGTTTTGATAGTCAGCTTAACAAGTAACAACCTTGATGAAACCTACAATGTGCCTATTGCAGTGCATGCACGGCGCATTGATGATAGATCGTGCATTTCAGCACGCACTAACTATGGAGTCTCGTGTCGCCCATTCGAACACAATGCCGGATATAGGAATTTAGACTAGAGTGTACTTTTTAACTCGTTCAGCTCCTAAATTCAAGTCATACTGAACGTTTAGCAAGGACAGGTTAGCTACGTGCAATTAAATCGTACGTTTCCTCGTAGCGTCTCCGAGGCTCATATATATATATATATGTATAGGCTTTATTTTCCGTGTGACTGAGACTACCACGACGCTTAGGGTTTGGTTCTAAAATAAAGCTGGAAGAAATTCTTTCTAAAAATATTGATCCAAAGGTAATTTTCCATCCTCGAGCCGACGAAATTTGTTAAGTACATTTACTCGCACTAGCCATTCTTTCTTCTCTACTTTATCACCGAGCAGTTGGTCACACAACACGTACATAAACACGCATATTTACACACGTATCGATATTTATAAAATATTTGAGTAAAAAAAGTCCATTTTAAAAAGTATGCTATACAAACGAGTATTTGCGTTCTAATAAATAATTTCAGTAAAATATCGATGGACTAGGGTGGACTACCAATTTTCGACAATAAGAAAAATATTCATCAATTAAACTGATAGTTAGGTCTCAATCAAAAGGCTTTTCAGCGTTAAAATGTGTAGCAATAGGAATTGGCCCGAAGCTGCACACGATGGCCTATCGGAGCGATTCACTAGGCCTACTTCGTGAGCGGTGACTCGCACAACGTACATGTATATAGAATGTGTTCGTCTTTCTGTCTATCCTTAGTATTTGCGCCGCTGTTAGTTGCTTCAGAACTTCACCGAGACTCCAAATGATGAGGCAATAGACATCGAAGAAATCGTTACACATGAATGGCATATGGATATACAATCTTAATATGTACACGTATGATAATGATCACCGAATTATTATATTTAGTATATAATGTTTGTCTACTGTAAACACGGTCCTTCTTTAATATTCACTCTTTCTCAAAAAACATGAATTGAAGACTATACGGTATAATGACAGAAGTCGTACACAATCTTGCGTCAGCTTGGCTAATAGAGATGCCTGATCAACTGTTTATCTACGAAGGTACCAATGTAAACATGCTCTGCCAGAGTTTGACTTCGTAATATATAACGACTATTCCGTAGCAGTGTGCACCCAATATCTTCAGTGGGCATACGCAGTACTTTACACTATACACATAGTACGTAACTAAGGAGAGTTGTAACTTAACAGAGAAAAGCGACAACAAAAAAGTAAGGCCAAAAATTAAATTGTGATTGGTTTACTTTTAATTTCAACACGTAAGGCAGCTGCTTGGTACTGCTGCCCTAGTAAATCCCACATCCGTTTTCACCTAACAAACAGGTGATAATTTTAAGCAGACGAAAAACAAGGCAACATGATTCATTTGTGGTCGCTTCTTATACACAACGTTTCGATTCATAGGTATTAAGTATATTATTTATATATTTTATATGTTATGTTGGGTAAAACCGGTCACGTTGTCTGCAACAGCTTTTAACAACATTACTTGTAGGTGCAGATAGGTTCTGCGACTTTCGTCGTCTTTCAATTGGTCTCTATGGGTTATCGTTATATATCTTTATTATTATCATCATTCATACGTTGTTGATAGAGGGAGCTCTTGTTTACGGTAACAGTACATTTATTTAGCTAAGGATTAATTGTCTAGTTATGTTATTAGGCTATAGTTTATTAGCGCTCGTCTCATTATACCCCGCGAAGGATGCTAGGTACCCGTTCACAAGCTTAGGATGTCTCGAGAAACACAAGAATCGCCTTTTGGTGTGGGAATTCATGTTTACCCGACCGAAATCACTCTTAAAAGCCTAGAAATTCATTAACAGCTACGTATCACTCTCGAATGATGCGCAATGCCCCCACTGGAGAGTGCACTTGACTGTTGCTTTGTGCCTCGGTTCGTCTCTCAGGGGAACTCTGCTATAATGGTGGATGGCTATAACAATTGAAAAGTTAAGTGAGTAACACTTTTCTTGCCCAACATAGTTGAACGCAGACTAACGATGGTGTATATTATACTTGCGTGTAAATATAGGCCACCATCAACTAGTTCCGATACGTGGCAGGACGGGGTAACGTTAACAGCGATCCAAATGTGTAACATGGCAGCTGCTGAGTCTCTTGTTATGAAGGGAAATCGTTTTCTATCATATAAATGGTAATTCAGCGGTAGGTCCGGCCTACGGAATGAGCAAGAGGACCGTTTTCACAGGTCACTGAACGAAGTTTGTTTTAACGACATTTAGATTTTACTGGTCAAACACACTTACACAATGGATACTATTTTTTACGACTCCTTAGACTCGGCCCTGAGCTACGGGGGCGCTCTGTCTGGCGCAACGATCCGGTGGTACGCGATTTATTATATCGTTGTTGTTGTTGTTGTTTTTGTTGTTTGAGCTGATCTGTCTTCGTGCCAGGCTTTGAGTTCTTCCATGTGCCGTCATTAGTCGATGAGACTTTTTCATTCTCTTCTTTGAGTCGAGTTTTTGCTCGTCGCGTGCCAACACCGCTTTCTGGTTGACTATTATTATTAGCTGATGATCTGGAGAAGCTGGGCACGGTCGTAGGTGTAGCTAGCGGATTAGTGGGGGGATTATTTGAGCAGGACAAATTTCGTCTTACGCTGGTTTGAATTCGGTGCTTGACTAGGACGTGCACCTAAAGCAGCAATAAAATAAATATTAATGCTATGTTCTCGTGTCTTACACAAACTACAAACAGTCCTTAGGTGACTTTGATCTATTAATTGGTGAAATCGTAAATTTTTTAGTAACGTACTCTGAACGTTTGGCTAGTTCAGCGATAGCCCGAGACGTTTTTGCTGTTTATAGGGAATTATTGCAGGCTAGACATATATTCGTCGCTGAAAGCAGTGCGAGCTGCGCATCAAATATATGGCTATTTTCGTCCCTGTAACAACGCCCTCTAGCCTTAGGGAGACGTGGTGACCTAGGCACAAAATGGCGCATAAACACGTTTCGCTTTGTGCTGGAAGAGGCTAGCCGTGGGAAGTAATGCCTAGCGCCTTTGATACCGAATGTAAAACACAGAACAAAAACTCATAATTTTAAGAATCCTGCTCCGATTGCATTAATAACTCTGAAGTTCAGACTCGATCTAAGCTTGGTGGTGCCCCTGGCAATGCAGGCCTAATAACGCTCCATTCTCGAATCACCCACAGTTGACTTTGGTGTTATATTAAATGACAGCGTCTTTAGATAAAGTAATAATGTAAGAGTTAAACAGCAGAAAAAAAAAAGTATGAATTAGGAAAAATCCATTTTGGAAACGTGGCCTAATTCTTTGGTATAGAAAAATATTTCAACGCATTTCATATTAATCATTATATACCCTGATCTTTGCTGATGTACAACCTCCAATACGTTTATATTGAATTCTTGGATAGTTGCCGTATGCGATATATAACTACTGCACAAGCCTATTACGCAAATACATATGAACAATCACCTTTTTTGCACCGGGCGTTCGTAAAGAGATGTTTGGGTTCGGGCAGCGTGGACAGCGAAGGGTTTTTCTTCTTAGACTGAGCAATGGCAGCCAGTGGCCCTGAGAGCCACCGCGTCTCAAGTTTTTATTTCGGTCACTTCTATATGTTTCCATCGACGCCGTTTCCATCAACTGGGTCTAATTGAGAACAAATTCAAATGACACAAAGTATTTAAATAGTCAGATGTAAAATATTTCCATTAATGAATGGTAGACACAGCGTTCTGTCTTAGATATATATACACCATTTAGTCAGCTATGTTTGGTTGGATAGTGCGAACATCTATTATCTGCGGCGGCGGGCATAAACATTGGATTATCTTAACAAATCAAGAGTTGAAACTGTATCAAAGTGTTCCGCAAGTTGAGATAAAGTTCAACTTTTAAAATTACCTTATGCTTTTTCCTGTCATCAGCCGTGCTGACCAATTTGAGTCGAGCCTCGACGGTGCTCAGTTTATTACTCCAAAGTTTGTTTGTCTGCGCTGCGAAAGGAACTACGGGAGATATTATAGCGGGTCTCATTCGAGATACGGAGCCGTAGGTGAGACCCTTCGCTAGCGATTTAGCTCTGATGACGTTTCTTGGTTCACTGCGGCGTGTGGCTCTTTTTCGCGATCGGATTGCTATTTCATTCGATTGTGCTAGTAGTGCGTCCTTTGAATCACTGACGATATCAATCTCAGTATTGGTATCTCCATGGTATGTATCCATGTTACCGTTACATGCTTCCTGTGACGGGCTTGACCCCTTACGATTACAGTTTGATACTCTGTGAGAAATACTGATTGAGCCGTTATTATCATTGCAACTATTTTTCTTACTATTATGATCGTTCAGCTTATGAATAGTATTGAGTATGATCGACGCCGTGGTCGCATCAAGTGATCTGTGTTCAGCGAGTTGACGATAGACCGACGTCAGAAGGCGAGATAAGAAGCCACGGGGGTTGCCGTCATGATCGTTGTTACTTCGGCCTTCACTGTTAAGTCAGTTGCCAATAAAATATCTAATTAGTCTATAGGTTGATTTTGTATATATGCAAGTAAGCAAGGTAAGCTTCACGTTTGTAGTCAACGCACAGATATGAATTCAATTATCAACGGGCGAGTCAAAATAAAGAAAAATCATACCTCCCAATACTTTTATCACTTCGCTCTGTCACTTCAAAGCGTTCAGTGTCGCGGCTTTTCGCCTCACTTTCGTTGTCTTCATTGTCATCTTCCAGGTCATCTTCACCATTATTGTAACGATGCTCGTCGTTGCCTGATCGATTAGATGTGTTTCTAGCGTCGCTCGTATATATATCATTGTCTTCTGGCTGAAGATCGAGATCCGAAGATCGTTTGCGACAACTATAATTATCAGTATTACTTTGCCGTGTTTTTTTATTCAGTTTTTTTGGTGGTTGATGACGTTCCGCTGAGGAATGACAAAGGAGTAGATGTGGCGGGATATGGGTGTATTGGTCGGCTGTGGGGGCCGTAGATGGGCAAATGCGACCGTAAAATTCCGGGAAAAACTCTAAGAATGCCTGAAAAGGCGAGTAAAATAGCATTAAACGACGGCGTTTATTGAAGTCTATTACGGAATGGCAGATAGCCCCGGGCTTTCAAGGCTTCTTTAACCCAATCCTGCTTGCAAATCTTCTGTTCCGTTTCATAAAAGATTATTTAATTTAGGAACTATATACTTTTACTGCTTGCCTGTTCGGTGAACGTCCATCACCATTATATAGCTATCAGAGTGCAGCTGTTATGCATTACCTAACTGTCATGGACATGTCAAGGAACCAACCTTTCGACAAAGTGTGCACTCGAGTGGGGCAATATGATGCTCTTTTTTGACGTGTCGCATCAGTTCTTCGCTTCGATTAACTGCGAGGCCACAGTGGGCGCAGCGTGCCCGTGCCAGACACGAGCCCGTCATAGATTCTAAGCCAGCAACGCCGTCAGCCCCCAGAGATGCGCAACCGGAACCGTACACCCCTCCGAGCCCCCCTAAATGCAAGTTAACCACGTGTCGAGTTAACTCCGAATCAAATGGGGAAACAAAGCCGCACCTTAACGACCTCTTTGATGTAGAGCTACCAAGATCACTGATCTGAAACGACAGTTGCGTGTTCGTTACGGATTTTAATTAATTACTCTTATATCCTCTCAGCGTGATCTTTCGTGCCAATATATCTCTGTTTAGAAATTCCATGACTATATTGTTACTATTACCATTACTATTATGCGACCATGTTTTATTATGGGGAGCACGATGTTACGGAACCTAATCCGAAAGTCTGATTTTACCTTTTTTTTCGAATCCGAAGTCGCGTGTCCACTAGGAGAGTGTTCACAGCTCTCCGTTTCTGCTCGACATCTGGCCAATTGACCTGAATGTATTCGCATATGTTCCATTATTGTGCCCTGAGTAAAACACCTGCGAATATAGCAGTATGTGTCAATGGCTCTAACGTTCTCATCTACCCTTTCGTTGTATGGACCTTTGGAACGGACAGAACGGTATTTTCGGACGATTCATTGAAAAAATGAGCCGTAACGTATTCTACAAGGGTTGACATAGTGTATAGGGCTCTGTTGCTAATGATACCTTTATCGGGCCTTTGTTCGCATAATGTTAGGTTAAATTAGGAAATTGCTGTAAGCTGGAGACTATGACCCTCAGTATTTTCAAACGAAGGAATAATGACGTACTTGAATCCGCATATAGTGCACTGATACGGGAAGGCAGGTACGTGATGATGATGTTGCTTAGCGCGTGACGTCTCAATTAATTCGCCGGTCATGTTTTCAGCAGAGTTCGAGATAAACGTATTGGTTCCAATAGGTGCGCCCGGATGCCTGGTCTCCAAATGGTATGCCAAAGATAGCTTATCAGCGAAACTGAGAATACACCAGGGGCAAAAGAACGTATCTACGCCTTCATCGACATCACGATCGTCAACCAGCTGAAGAACATCCGCCGGACTTGACATGTCCTCCTCGTCCTCCTTTTTCTCCTTCAGCTTCTTCTCCTCGCTTTGATTGTGAGAGACTTGTTCCAAATGCCCTCTATTTTTTATATAGTCAAACCCAAGCTGCTGAGACTTTAACGAAGGATCTCTTTTGGTATTCGAAAAATCAGATATGAATTCAGATTCACTTTCGCCTTCATTGGGGTCACTGAGCTGTTCTAAATTGGTTTTCCAGCAACTAGCAAGGTTTATACCCTCGCTGGGAGTGTTGTCAAGCGTTTTTTTGAAAAGCAGTGTTGCATCGTGGTCCGCTACGGCGCCCGAGTTAGGGTCGACTTCATTTTTACTAGGCTTCAAGGTTATATCAGAAACATCGATTTCTCTCATTTGGCTGGAATCTCGGTAATTGCTGTCGTCTTCATAACGATCATCGACTAGAAGTTCACCTTCGCCACTCTCGTCGTCGATGTCCACTTCGGGATTTGTGTCGGCAGCTTCTGGGGGACTTTTCTTACTTTCAATTGGTCTACCGTTGCTATTCTCGACCGAAGTTATGCCATCAAATGCTGAACCTCCACCACTGGCATTTCTGGCCAAATCGGACGAATTTCCATTTGGCAGAGGACGTGTATACTGATTCGTCGAACGGCTATAAAGCAACATTGAATCCCGTTACAATAAGAAACATACTCAGACATACAACTTTCAAGGAGAAGACCGAATCTCGGGCACTGGTCTCTGGCTGTTACACACACGTTTATATATCTAGCTATCCTCTATCAATCATCTCCATAGTGTAGTATGAAAAAGTAAATACCATTGAATGATTAATGTCATTAACGTAGTGTTTTGCTGGGCTAACTATTGCGTCTCTCACGTCTTCGTTCCACAGTATATGTACAACCGCTTCAGAGTCAATTTGTGCTTTCTGGATTGAGTTAAATATTTGAAGTAAACAAGGTAAAGAAACCAGCACAATGAGTGCAATCGTTCAACGAATAAGCTAAGGGAGAAATGTCTTCATTTATTAGTTCTATTCATATTTTTCATTACGTTTCTTCTAAGGGAATTCGCTCAATTCCTCGCGAACTCATTTTGCACTTACTGAGCGGTGCGCACATGATGGTCAAGAGCTGCTGCGTCCGGAAACGACAGATTTTCGCACTTGGCGCAAAGATGTTTACCGTGAACGCGAAGGACGTGAGCTCCCAACCGTTCGGAGCGCGCAGCTTTGTAGTCGCAGAGTTGACAACGAAACGGCTTTAGGTGGGTGTTCATATGGCGACGCAGACCCCATCCATCAACACCTCGCCATGGGCATTGATCACATGTATACTCTTTTACCTGATAGTGAAAAGGCAGCGACGTTAGCTTGTGTGTGAATAGTATAGAATTATTTGCCTGGACCACCATTCAATTTATCTTAATGTATAATCTCCATTTCTACACAACTGATTCAGGCGGGGTGTACGCCACAGTAAAACAAATGCAAGTGTGTTCTTCAGCAAAAAAAATGTCCCTTACCTCTGTTTCATGCTTTTTGATTTTTTCTGCATGGCACAATTATTGCGCCTAGAAGAAAAGTGGTGGCTTTTTCATTTTTCGAAATACTTCCAGCAACGAGCAGATATTTATATTACTATAGGTATCCTCATGCTAAAGGTTATGTGGCTATTGCAGATCATCATTGAACATTCCTGAATATTCCAATGTAAAAATATTCCCTAGTTTGTCGAGACTTATACAACTGGCCCAAAACAGATATACTTAGTGGATGATTCTATTCCGCCAAAATTGTGCAATTATCGTTGGTGCACGGTAGGGGAATAATTATAAAATCCTGGGACATTCTTCCTTAGCTGCTGTGAGACACGCATTTGAGTTGTTTCTATATATGCGATGGACACCTACGCCATATCTAAAACAACAGGATGAAAGTTAAATAAACAGATTTACTAACACTTTAATCTACTGGCGCGTGTTGATTTTTGAACTAAAAGTTTGGTACATTTGTACATATCTGTTGCTTGACATTTGTACCTGACTTGGCTCCAAAACCGCCGTTTCGCGCTTCTTTGAAGGGCCTGCAATTGCTCCGGAAGCTGTCAGAGTGCTTGTGCTAGTGATGCTGCTTCCTGTGCCGACTGGATCACATGTTAGAGAGCTGTCGGGCAGCTGACGCTCATTAGCTCGAAGGTGAGGGGTTCTTTTTTGGTTAGAGGGCTGATTATCGATGCCACTTGCTAGACACTCATCTGCCTCGTCGATTGGTTTCGGAGTAAGCTTCGGAGGAGGCGGAAGAATGACCGTCACTTCTACACCCGACGAAATCCTGCGTCATGTAACAGGACCGCAAACGAACGGAACAAATTGTTTCACAATTGTCAAACCTAGGTTTGATTTATTTCACTGGCCACCAAGTCAACGTTTTACTTTTTGATACACTTGTGGATGAATTAAGCTTAACTGGATTTATGAATGGTTCATAACCTAATACAATGGTGTCTCTTTGGTCTAGTTGAATCATGTCGCAATGAAGCGCACCAATTTGGAAACAACCGCCTCTTCGTAATAACGTATATCATGGGCAAGCACATAATTGAAAAGAGATATCCTTACCTCGATATATTTTCAGTGTTTTTTGATAGTGTCGTAGAACTGTGGCTAGTCTTCGACGGAGCGCAGCGGCCTGCTGCTGTTACGGTAAAATTGGCGTCCTCGAGGGTGCATTTGTTCTCATCGGGTTGAAGGTGGTCCGTTTGTGAGCGTTGTTGGGCTGATCTTTGGCGCGTTCGTATCGATGATAATTGTATTGATAATGCGTTTTGCTTATCTACGAACACAGATCAAGAAAAGCGACAAATCTATTAGACTAGAGAAAAGCTTTGCATCTGGACGGACAAGCAAGGGCAGATCTTGTAAGGTCAACTCGCAAGTTAAAATGAACAGGTAGATAGTACTATGTAAGTCTCTATTCGATAATAACTTAGAAAACTGCGAAGCGGGATCGATCATCGGTTAGAAGCACCCATTGCTATATATAATATAATACACGCAATAGTTGAATATGTGTGCGTACGGTTCGCTAACTGTTGTGGAACGCTGTAAGTTACTGATGACACCGGCGTCGTTATTGCGGCAGCTGATGCAGTTGTTGAGGACGTTCGTGTGGAGCGACGCGGATTATGCCGGCGACTGTTGGGTACAGTCGATGTCAGAAGAGGGAATACAGACTGGTCCCCTGCGGCCATATTTGTCCCAGGTTTTGAAGTAATTGCCATTGTAGAATCCGTATAACCATTATCACCACTGCTACTAGTGCTGACTAGTCGTTGAGAAAAAGACTCATTAAAGTTTGCTTCAAGCTGTGGTTTTTCCTTCCTTTTGCTACCTTGACTTTTATCCTTATCTCCAATAATGTCGTCATGCTCTTCCTTAAGCTCTGGCGAACTGCCGTCCGTTTTATGATTTGTGTCACTTTTCAACTTATCGGCTATATTGCTGTTAGCCAATATTCCTTTTTGCAAGTGAATCACATCGCCTGTATAATTATGTAGACTCTGCTGAGCTTTATCGGCGCTTGGCTCCAAAGGACGCCCATGGTTGTAAGTTTCCCGTGTTTTCATTGAATAACCTTTCGATTTGTTGCTGTTATCACGGCCGCGGACTACGGGAGACGTGGCTTTCTGCGAGTTTACGAGGTCCAAAGCTGTGGTCGCACGCTTGGTGATGCTACCATGCGCTGCTGCTGGGCTAAGAAGACCTGAAGACGCTGCCGATGTCTCAACAAGCACTTTACTTTTCGCTGTTGAAGGGGAGGTCGAGAACGAAGAATCTGCTTTGCGTTTCAGAGTTCGGCTCTGTTGCTGATGTCCAATTGAGGACACAATGGCCTCTAGTACGGGCGGCGGTGGTGACGACCGTATAGATCCAGTGACATCAACACCAGCACCTCTGTCCTCACTCATCCGACCATTGTAATCTTTTATGAGCTTTTGGTCCCTTCCGAGTTCCTTTAGCTCCGCTTTCGAATCAGTTTCAATGTCAGAAGCCGGCTGGTTAACATCGTCTTCTTGTTTTAAGCAGTTGTCATTTATTGTACGCTGTGACGCTTTTGCTGACTGGCATACGAGACTTGAAGTATCGTGAACTGTTCCCGCCGCCGGCGTTATCGGGCCTATCGGCACAACAAGTGGAATCGATGCCGATGAACCAGAGCTTACTGCAAACATCATGCAGGCAAAAATAGTATGTGTTTATTTTTTTTCGTTCTTCGCAATTTTAGATATAACACAAATAAGGCTGTTTGCATTTACACAATTTGCCTATGCTTTCATCAAGCTAAACCTAAAATATTTCCTAGAGACAAGATCGCTGGGAGACCGGCGCAGCTCGCGACGGCTTCCAAACGAACCATCCAGAATGTTTGTTACGATTATTATTATTATTTAAAAAAAAGATATATCTGTAGTGGGTTAAAAGCGTTTGAAAATGAGAAGGCGTGATCCGATCCTTATTGGAGAACCAATAAAACTGCAGTCAGTTTACTTCTAGGTAACTTATCCTGTGCGTCATATTGTCTTACAGTAGCAATTGAAACCTATGGCAACCCCGCGTCAAACTCGCTCTATCACTCATATGTGTTACTATATTTTTACCATTGCCGTCTGGCTGGAGCAGCTGTGCGATGCTGGCCTGAGCCACTTGGGCGGCCTGCGCCGCGCCTGCAGCTGCGGCCCCCACGCGGCCAAGTGCCGTGAGGGTAGTCAACGTAGCTGTAAGACTTGAGTTTGCCGCGGACGATGTCGCAGAACTGAGGATCGTGGTAGCCGCTTGAGCAGTTGCTGCAGTTGCTCGTTGATGGGCTAAAGCCAGCGCTGCCAAGGGCGTTAAAGTAGACGCGCTTCCCAGCACCCCTAGGGTATCATTTGCTAAGCTAACAGCAAGGGGTGGCGTAGCAGCTTTTCTGCTAGCCGCTGCCAGAATGGCGGCCGCTGCTGCGCCATTAGCGTTCCCATTAGCTGCTAGACTGGTGGCGAGAGACGTGACCAGAGGCGTGATCAGAGCGTTCGCGGTCGACCTCGCGGTCCCGTCCGTTGTTAAGTAGCCACTGTTGCTATTGTTACTGCTATTGCCGATACTTGTTGCGTTGGTTGAGCTCGTAGCAACGACTGCCGATGGCAAAAAGCTATGATGAGTATTTGCTTGGCTTAATGTGGAGGCCATTTGAGCCGGAAGCGACGAGGCGGCAGTGCTAACCGGTGCGGGACTAGGTACTACCAATTGATTGTTATTGTTGTTACCGACAGACGTAATTCCCCGGCGACGAATAAGGGCCACGTTGTACGGCCTCCCCTTGTGGATGCGCAGAAAGTGCTTCTTGACGTGATCCGCGCGGTTGAACAGCTGAAATGTACGACAACAGCAACAACACGTCAAAAATGCAGTCCTTGCAGTCGACATAGGTTTATTACGTCCACTATATTAAGATCAATATCGATCGAAGAGTGTAACTTCAACGGAGTACGCATAGTTTACGCTCGTATCGATGAAGATACGTCTATTCATTCAATAAAACACAGTGTAGGCGCGTCATCGGAAAAAGAAGTTCATATCCTAGTTGAGACAACGACGCGGTGATGACATGCGAATGCCAAAACAGCTATGGATAGTTGTACACCGTTCCCAAAAATTCTGCCGACGAATGCTAGCTGGAGTGCAGATAAGCTCATTGATAAATCAAGCAACGGAATAGTCATGTGGGCTCATTCACCATGACGCAAATGGTTTCATCATTTTTCGATTCGACACGGCGATTGACTGGATGACAGCGAAACCTGTCGTCGGCACGATCCTGTTCGTTAGTGACCTGATATTGTTTTAATGCAATGCCGATGAGACTCTTTGAAAACTTTTTGGACGACGCTAGGGTTTCGCAGAACCGCGAGCTATTAGGATGTGCCTGAAGGAGCGAGTACCTTGTGGCAGACGTAGCAGTGGAACGGCTTGTCTTCTTTGTGGATATTCTCGTGTCGGTTATAGAGATCACGCCGATCCGTTGAATACGCGCATTGCTCGCATGTATATCTGTATAACGAGAGACAAAAAAAATGAAGAGAGTTAAAAAAACACGATGCGGCTTAGTGGAGAAGTCGAAGTTGCATGTAACAAACAAACAATAGAAGAACAAACATCAAAACCATCATTTGCCGAGATGCAGTGTTATATAAACGATTAGCCTCATATAGATAGGTATGCAATATAGATATTACGACGTATAGCCATTAAATTTTGTTTCGTAAGTACCTCTTTTTAACAAGGGTTGTCGAAGGGTTTACTCCAGACACAATTGCTGTTACGCTGCTATTGTTTCCGCTATTCGGTGTAGAAATAAGGTTTGGCGAAACCAAAATCGACGAGCTCGATGTGAGCAATGTTTTACTGTTACAGTTCGTAGACGTCGCCTTCTCAAGTACCGTTTTCACCGTAACGGTGGTGTTATTGAATTTTATCGAATCCTGTGTTGACGATGCCTGTAAGCTGCTGCTGTCGCTGCTAGTAGAAGTGTTGCATACAGCATAAGAAGCAGCCGGACGAGCTGCCATCGGATGCCCGAACACCAAGATAGACTCGTCAATTCTGAGGGTTAATTAAACATACTCTAACAAACTCTTCTCAGATACGTTCCATTGTAACTGGTGAATGAAATGAAAATATAGTTCCCTGTCGAAATAGCTAGTACCATTACCGAACGTTGTCAATGAATGTATAACCAGACTGCGGAGTCTTCCCGTGAAACAATCTCATAAAATATGCTCTTTATATTTACCAGTACTGCTGGTTAGAGATGTTGATGGAGTATCAATGGTTCGAAGTGTCGGCATAGAGACGTTAGTTCCGTGGTTAGGGACAGTAGCCGGGTCCTTCTTGCTTAGATGACTATGTAAGTTCGCCAGATTTCCAAGGTTGGCAACGACATTGGTGCTCAATTTAGCTAAGTTATGACAGGCAAATCGGGTGGAGGAATCGGTTAACGAAGTGCTGGGTGGCGAGTGTGTGCTTGAATTTCTATTGGCGACTGCTATATATGAAGTAACGAGACTTTTGAGTTCCTCGAGCAGTTTGATAGTCTCTCCCAGTAAAGGATGGGTCTCGGCCCATAGGGACGACGGGATATCAGCCAGTCCGTGCTGTTTGTTAAGGTGCATTCGTACACACCTACATCCCGCAAACGAAAAACGCTTTGTTGTTGACGTGTTTAATGTAACGTATTTCCAATTGATTTAAACTGAAGATGTACATTCAAAGGCAGTATTGGTACTATATCTATAGGAAATCGATGTACCTAGGCCAGTCAGAAGTGTAGGTGCACTTTGGACACCGGAAAAGCTGTCCCGCTGTTGATGTAGACGAGTCTGTGATATTTGGCGCAGCTGCAGCAGCTCGACTTGCAAGATCGACGTGTTCTGTTAGATAATGTTCTGCCGTTCGGGTGACGCCTCCAGTCACACCGCAGTAGACGCATTTAAACTGGTCAAATGTGGGGTTGTATCGGGCTACAGAAGAGCCGTCAATTGACAAACGTCCTGAACCTGTCAGGTACACACGACACATTAACCAACAAACGCTTAGAAATAAATATCGTCTCACGTTATGGTATATAGTTTACTAAAACTCGTACTGCGTAATGCTTCGTCGGGTACATACGTCAGTGCTAGCACCGATGTCCTCGGTCTTTTTCGTGCATTCGAACCGTTATGAAGTAACTATATGAAGAACATGTTTGTCAACGACCACAATTATTTCATGTGGTAGATAGTTTGGTTTAGCTGGATGTGTTGCGGGGATGTGATAGGCCAGCCCCAAAAGGGTGTTGCTTCTTCGAAGCAGTACGGCGCGCTTGATTTGCTACAGAAGCCAGCACAGCGGATGGACGATGCTCGTCTGAAGTGTATTTTATTATTTACCTTCAAAGTATCCTGGATCATTTTCGGCCTCTCTTGGATGCTCTTTGGTAAGAAGTCGCGAGCTTTCAAATAGTTGACGTAGCCGTTCCGGGCTATAACCCATATTCTAAACACATCACAAACGAATTATTTAAACATAGTTTTTATCAATTTTCATCTTCAGTTGCATATGTTATGTCTGTTATTATATCTGATATTTTGGCATTTTAATCTATCACAGATGTCTAGTATAGTTACGACTTAGTAATCATTACATTAATTATTCGGATACTACTTTACCTGTAAAGCAGCCGTTGCGACGACCAAATTGAGCTTTGATGGATCCATACCGACACGAAACAACAACTGGGTTCCTATTTAACAATGAATTTCACCTCCGAATTGATTTTTATAGTTCAGTTCAATGATCATATGGTTTTTGTGACTAAGTGAAGCTTCTCCGTCAATATTTTTCTAGTTACGTTTGACCAATGCACCTTTATCTCGGTCTGTCTAACGTTAATAGATGACACCAATTCTGTATCTTCAGCGGCCGCTGATGAACCCGCTTCTCGCTTTCCGTTGTTACCATATTCGATTATATGGAGATACGTGTCGGGCAATAGATTTTAACAATGCTTTCAAATGGTTAAAAATGTATTTGAAATACCCATCAACGATGAGAGGAGTATTCAGTCACTTAATGAACTCATTCATTTTATTCTCAGTTTTACGCTGTCCCACAATAAGGTGTTGTCTAAGGTAAAGCCGTGATGCCGGCTAGTGCACTCATTACTTCAGTGACTGATGGACTTCGTCCCGCTCGATAATAACTTGATGATATTAATTATCACATTAAGAATCCAATTTCTAGATTGCCTAACTTGGAGAGAAAGAACAGTTGTTCATTTGTCGCTAATATTGAACTATCCGTTCATTTGACTTTACGTAGTGTTCCTGTTGCTATTTAAGAACCTTCAGTCTTGCCAAAGGGCCCTTCGAATAGTGACCAATAACTCTTTCTACATTTCATTGTTAATATGTTTGTCACGGTAATCGACTGTCTAGCGGGACCCTAGAATAGCCAATGGTCTCGTAAAGGAGTGCGCGCAATCATCACAATACAGCAAAAAAAAAAAAAGTAACAGTGATAGCTGGTGCTTTCTCTACGTGATGATAAAGACGACACGTTTTTTGTTTTTCTGTAGATCAATCTACAGAAATAGCCTTCTAGCGGTACGTTTACTTTTGCTTGATAAGGATTCTGCTGCGAACACGGCACTTGGAATGATATCAATCTGACGTGTCCACGTCCTCATCAAAGCAGTACTCCAATTAGACTAAATACAATTTGACTAGATAATTTATAGTATTAACAACTTGGCTTAATGCGCCTCTAAAGCGAAGACCGTGGTCAGGTCATCTCGGTAACGAACACCTGAAAGAACAAGCAATCCAGGACGAAACGATTCTACGTATAAGAATCTTAATCGTATATATAAATTGCTCCCATATTTGGTATTTAAGCTTTGTCATCTGACTACAGTATACAGGCTATTATAATTTCTCCTATGGAGAATAGAGTAATTGCTTTAGATAAATAAGTAAATCTCAAAAGGTGACTCGATTTAAAAAACCTCAAGGGAGTCAACTGCTGTACACACAGAACACAGCCAGGAACCATACGAACTCCAGCATCCTTAATTAACTGTCCCTATGATGCTATATATATATATATTATTAGAAACGTGTTTATTATCGAAGAGTATTACCTAATGACAACACTTGGAACACACAGTGGTGTAGTGGACTGTTCGATGCTAACGCAACTTTTTCCGATTCGTACCAGCTGACAACATGTCGAGAACAGACCAGACATTGTTCTGTCTCGTCTACGCTCATCAAGATTTGATACTTTCCAATATTCGCGCGTGGCGCTTAAGGCTTCGTCCTTAACTTACATATCCAACTTACTTACACCCAGCTAAGCTTCTTGAATACTCTCTCGTATCTACATAGATATAGGTAGGTAAATTTTCAGTGTGGCCCTATTTGCTTCCGCCTATTCAGCCTACCTTATGCCGTCACGTCTCTTTCCTCGTCCTCATCCGCACACACCCGAATAGCTACCCACCCAAAGGAATTTCGTCTTCTTCCCTTACTCCTTTCGTTTCCTAATGTTTCTTTCTACCTTTAGTCACCCCTTCCCCATCGTCCTCCGTACTTCCTTCCCTTCCCCTTTGTTGCTGCTGCCGCTCCCCCTTCCACCTACAGTTTGGCCCATCCTCATCCCACTACGGCACACCGCCAACAGCAGCAGCACCACCGCCACCACTACTACCACTATTTACTACTGCTGGCAACTCTACTACCACCCATCGACACACCCATGAGACAGGGTATTCTACATGCCGCCCACCTTTTTTCCCTTTCCCCGTCCTCGGTCTCTTTTGAGGTATGTCCACGTCGCCCACTGGTTCCACCTCGCTAGACTGAGCTCCCGCCCGCTGGCCTAACTCGCTTCTGTCTTCTCCCTGTCTTCCCCATTCCCCCGATTCTTGTCCGTCATCCCTTCTCCCCACCCGTTCTGGTATTGCCCTCCAGGCCACCATCACACAACGCTATGGATGGGTATGTGTGACTCTATACGAGGACTGAGCGGAGTAGAGTTTTCCTGGGGGAACATTGAATCCAGGGCCCAACCTCCTCTCAGGCTTGCCTGTCCTGCATGAGAATCGAGTGTTGGGTTTTGGCAATAGTGGGGGAGGGGGATATAAAGCCTGTGTGTATGTATGTTTCGCATCTCATCAGGCCCTCAAAGGGGTAAATCGCCACGTGGCCATCAGCCGAATAAGTGAGTTGGTTTGTGGCTTGCTGGGCGAATAGCTGCCAGCCAAAGACTAAGCTTGGGTAAAGGAGACGCCTAGCAAACGGCTTTTCGCGCCTTTCCCTCTTCCACCTTTCTTGTCTTGCAGCTTACACGACCTAGTAGTCCTTGCAAAGGCCAACCCTCTCCACCTGTTTCCCTCTTCCTATCCGGCCCGTCGTTGCCTCAACATGCTGCCCCTAGGTGTCCCAATTTACCCCAGACACACGACCGCGGCTTAGTATCGTCGCGAAAGTCGGCCACTGCTCCCAAATTTCTCCTAAAGCAGGCCAAAGCCCCTTGCCCACAGCTACGACCCCCACCCGATGTTGGTGGCGACGTCCTTCTGCGACACCCACAGCGACAGAGCCTTCAGCCTGACCACAATTTAGAAGTCTGCCGAGCTCACGACTTCCAGCTAACCGACATCCACGCAATAAACCTTCATATTAATGGCGGCATGGTTAAGCATTTTCGGCGTCAGCACAACCCTCTTGATACCTCTTTAATTAATAAACTTAAACTCCGCCCTATTACAACATCCCTAGAAACCGAATGAAGCTAATTACTTTATAAATTTGATTTAAGTGAGTCGTCTGCCTATTTTATTTGAGTTCTGAACACATTGTATATTTTAAACTTCAAACAATAAGCTTTGAAAATTTTTAGCTCGCTTGAAAATATCAGCTCCCTAAGTCGAAATGCTTTTAGTAGTAATTTTCTCTAGCTTTCTGACCGATTTCTTGCCGATTTTTCTCCCCATTTATTTGTATAAGCCTTTTAACACATGGGCTAGGTTATTACCTTATATTTGTATTTAGTACAAATTCGCAGACGTTTAACTCAATATGATGCCATAAAGACACTGGAATGCAGGCAAAGGAGCTAAGTATATTCTATTTTATTATGTTTCGTTATTATATATTAAAAAATAAATACTTTTGACCTTTTATGTCATAAGTGATGCGACATCAGACGTCATAAGTTGGGCTTTTAAATATCATTGTTATCTGTATTTTTACAAGCGACAAATTTTCTGGCATTCGTTTTGCGGTATTGTAAGTAGAAAGGTTAGACATTAACTTTATTTACCCAAAAAACGTTTGTAGTCAGATCCTGTGTCCAACAAAGAAAAAGGTTAACCCAGTAAGAACTAATTAAGCGCATGCCAAGGAGCGCGGAATTTATAAATTAATTTAAAATGTCTACGCTGCTGTCCATTCGGTAGGAAGGTACTTCAATCCGTTTTGGTGGTCAATCTTCAACCTCGATTAGTGTCGTCTGCGCATCCTAGAGTACACAAAGAATCTATTCTATATCTATGAATTACCCATGAAATGAGTAAACTTTACTCTTGTTTGAGAAGTTAAGCATGACATGGTAGCTTGTAGTAGGACAACTTGAAGAGGTTTTTGCTGTATTTGTAACGGGACTTAGAAGGGAACTATTTAATGCATTCATGTCCGTCAAGTTCACAACGAGCAAGTCGCCTGGGCTGTTTATATATCAACCTTTACTTTGTTTAAACAAGGAACTGTTTATTGGTTTTGGCAGTACCTTTTGGTTGTGTTTTTCAGTTCTGACGAAGCTGACGAACAAAAATCTTTTCGTGCCAACATTTCATTTGTAGGGTTATTAATCTTAACTTGGTAAAACCCAATATAAATATACTACGGCTATGATGTATAGAGGCAGGCGGCGCTACGGGCAGTGTACATATTACTGACTACGCAGACAGTCTTTTTCAATAAAAAACATATCGACTCTTAGCTTAAGGATCAAATTGGAAAGGCCATGCTTGTAAATTAGCTTTCCTGGCTACCGCTACGGTGAGCAGCGACATTTATTGTCGAATAACGACTGGATAAAAAGCAACCAACTCATGTAAATATAAGACGGTAGGTGCAAAAACTTTTAAGAAATTTTTAGAGCCCTGTAGAGTTTCAGCTATGCCAGCGTTACGGAAATAGCGCCATAGCGAAGATGGGTGTAGTTGTTTTATTATTCTGCGGAGCTGTCTGATTTCCTCTGTAGTGAGCCGCTTCTGTATTACCTCGGCAACTTCATGTGAGGAACAAGCATTATCGTAATGGTTCGAACGGATGCATTTGCAGGCCACGAGCGTGAAGACCTATTGGAGTTCCTTGAAAAAATCGGGTCAATTCACCACGAAAATCAATTCGCTTGTGGGTCGAAGTTTCCTTGCTGAATCTAATTGTCTCACATACCGTCGCCGGCTCTTTAAGGAAAGGATTAACTAAAGTTGCCAAATTTGCATAGCCTCGAACTTCTCTAAGCCACCTATTTGATGTTTAAAATTGAAGTTGGAGAAACTGCATTGGTCCGTAGGGCAATGAGTCTTCACTAGAAAAACCATGTCCTAAAATGTTGCTTCCTGCAACTCGCGTGTGGCCGAGAGTTTAACTGTGAATACAGATTTTTTGAATCCTTGGAAGAGATTATCACTTGTTCCAGCTTCTAAAAATAATCAGAGGAACATACGTCGCACCTATCCGTGTGTACCTACGCGCTTGAATAATCTTTCACTAAAACATGCACCCCAATGGTCGTCAAAGGTCGTTCGCCGCGATATCGGACACATAAGCGCCTTTTATCCTTTGCCAAAGATGTCCATCTCTTTCCCACTTCAAAGCTGCCTTTGAGAGTGGCACTCCAGAATATTAAAGCCGCATTTTAAAGACATCATTTTATCCTCATGATATAATGTAATCAATTCAAGCTTACGTCAGATTTCGAAATAGAATAGCTTTGCCGGCACCGTTAGTGTTACGCACCAGGCGATTGTCAGCTACTGCCTACACTCTATGCTTATCTATTTTGTGACAATCAAAAAGTTAGAAAAAACAAGTTGCATCACTCTCTATTACTTTCTCGATTCTGAATTGGGGGAATTTAACTAAAGTTCTTTCTCAATGCTCATGCTCCATTGTGCCGATATTCTATAGCATCATTTTTCATGATTTCATAATATCCATTTGGGAATTTCTGGCTTTTCTAAAACAAGAATATTAATTATTTAAAACTAAAGTTGGGACTCTCCTAATTAAACATACAATAGCATGTGTGCTAACAGTGTCCTGTCTAGGTATTGAACAACTGTTGTAGGAGAACCGGCATGTTCTGTACGACTGCTATAAACAGGTATAGCTCATAACGCTGCTTATAAATCAACTTTACCTTATAGAGTGATCAATATCTAGAGCTTTAGAGACAGGAAATCCTTTACACATGCGATATATAAGAATCATATTCATGGCACGCAGACGGGCGTTCGTAGAGTACGTTTCGTACTCTACGAATGCACCATGAATGAGCTGGAACTACTGGATCACCCGGTAGAGATTTACTCGTGCAACAGCAATCTCTATCTTTTAAAGATACACATTTTCGAAAAGGGCTCAGCCACAGAGAAATGAAAGAAAAGCATCAAAAATGAATTTTTCCCGTCGTTTATGCTCCCTCTCTCTCTCTCTCTCTCTCTCTCTATATATATATATGTAATCATAGTTATGTAACACGGCGTTCGATTTTAAGGCGTAAGGGTCCGAACATCCACCATTTTACCATCGATGTTCGGACCCTTACGATTGCTTTCAAAGACCAGTGATTCCGGGTTCCAGTAATGCCCCACTATCTGACCGCGTATTGTTCCTAACAGGTGTAAGTTATATACCGTAGTTACGTACCCACGATAACAACGGGCCAGTCAATGTAACTATATAACTGCAAGCAGGTAGTAGCGTGTCAACATCTTGTGTTGAACAAATTCCCAGATGCAATATCCGTCAGATATCGAACTGTCGTTCACTCGTTATAGCCACAGTTCAATCGTGAGTGTGAGCCAACGAGTTGATGGAGTCTTTTCGCATGCCAAATTATTATATTGAATTCTATTTTTAAAGTGCCTACAAACACTGAAAAAGTAAGCCCACGCTCAAAAACTGGCTATCGGCCGCATCAAAGCTATTATAGATTCAATTACTGACCGAGCGGCCACAGCGCCTCCGGCCTGGGGCATACGATGAACACCATCTACTAACCAACGACAAGCTGATCATTTGCTGCACATGGCAAACCTCACGCTAAATGTAAACAACTGAATGAGCAGGTCGCTGATGGTCTGAATAAATATATCAGGCCTGAGTGTCGAGTGCGATCAAACGATGGGTTGGTTGGTTAGTGATGATTGGAATCGTACATAAATGCGTGAAAATAACAATACACTTCGCCTTTCATACAGATTATGTCTGTTATTGAATTAACACTAGGGCACTTACAGTGAAACTACGAATAGTCTGTTCGACGATACGCAGACAGCCGCAGCCTGTAACGCGCGCTTTCCTCACTTACGCATCTAGATATTTTGCCGAGATGAATGTTATCCTCAAGATAGTAGGACGCGCGTAAATTTTTCTTATTTTTTAGAAAACTGTATGCTGATTTTTCTGCACGTTACGTCCACCGTATCCATAATAACAATTGCAATAGGATGGATAACAGTATTTCGCTTGTTGGCTTCGGCTTCTTTAATGTTTACCCATTTGTGAACTGATGACCGCGGAGTTGTTAGAAATGCACAAATATACTCACATAGGCACGTAACTTTTTACTTATTTTCAGCGGGCTAACTTTCGACAGACGGCACCTTTGTTCTGCTGGACAGAATATGTAGGATCGTAATGGGTCCGAGGAATAGACAATTCGAAGAGAAACGCAATACTACACCGTAATATCATTTTATAGGAATAGTAGAAACCTGCGTAGTTTCATATTCCATTTTTCGTTGTAACTATCGACTGCGGTCACTTGAGCTTCTCTACTATGCACAACAGCTAGAAAAAAAGATCACTGAAACAAAGAAGAACGGCGACGTGCGTCCATAATGCACTGGTTTATAGCCACACAACTGCCCCTCCGCCCCGCTATCATCGTCGTTGTCGTTGTCGCCGTGCGAGCAACGTCGTCCTCTTCTTTGAACTAACTCTCACATGTACCAGCCAGCTTCAGCTTCAGTTACGGGGTACCGCGTGCGAGTCGGGCTCCGATTTTCAGCACTACACGCAGTGATAAAGTAGCTAGCAACACGGCCATGGGATGAGCACTGCAGCGAGCGCAGTAGTAATAGTACCACCATTCGACAACAGCGGTCGTACGGATGGTGGTGTTTGTGATGACTTGATGGAATCTCTACCACAGCGGCCGTCGTCATCATTACCGTTCACCAACAGCAGACAGAGGAGAACGACTGAATGGACACCCACCCACCCACCCATCGACCTAAACAACCAGCGGCCATCTAGGCAAATAACCACCTCATTACTCTATCGTCATCGTCGTCATAATCATCATCTCAGCAGCAGTAACACTCGAACACTGAGTGTCACTCGAAAGGACTGCCGTTCGTCTGTCGGTCCACCCGTTTTCTCATGTTACTGTTACAGTCGTCATTTCGATCGTTGATACGGTGCTAGATTCATAGTTGGCTCTCGTCACAGAGGCTGTGAGAGACTTGACGAGTGCGCCACCGCATTCGCCGTTGGATAGTACCAGTGACGGTTTGTTTAATCGTCGTGTCCCAACTGCCGCTATCACCTCTTAACGTACTCCATGCGGATGGCAGAGGGGTCCGCCGTAGAATACGTTCCCAGCCGTTCTTGAGGGGCAGCCGAGGCAACAATGACGTAACAACTATAGATGTAGCCATAGAGATAACACGATGACGACTACATAAGGCTTCCGCGGCCGATGCTACTGCGTCTACAGCGCCTCAGTGGCGCCGATACTGCGATCTCACATATTGCTGACGCTGCCACCGCCGCCATCGTTGCTAAACCACTGGCAGCCTCTTTGGCGAGCAGCCACAGCTACTGCTCCGACCGTCGCAGCCGAGGTGTTGCTGCCGCCGCCAGCCGTCTGTTGACAACAGCGGTAGAACTGTCGTCAGCGACTGCGGAATTACTACTGCTTCGATGAACTCTTTTACGCCTCAACAGCTCTACCCCAATTCCTCTCCCACTTCTCCAATAGTCATTGCTGTCGGGGTAGCTCACATAGATACTCTTCCACTTTTGCAGCAGTAGTACACAGGGGTTGTTGATCTAGTTTACGGCTGCCACTGCGCCAGCCAACGCTACTGGTGATGCTGCCGCTGCCGTCGTCGTCTTCTCTTACCGTCATTTGCCAATTGAGTGTTCCGAGATCCGCGCGAACATGTGCGCACGCGCGCGAGCGCGCTCGCCTGCGCGGCTAAGTCTTTGTTGTGGTGACTGACACACAGATAGATGTTGACAACAGCGTTACGTAGGACGAGCAATACACCAGAGCGCAGTTTCGTTCCACGTTCGAGCTCCACTGCGCTGTTCCGTTAACTTGAAGCTCGACAGGTCTTCCTGTGCTTTTGCTTTGCCGAGACTACTGATACTACTTTTACCCGCCGCCGTCATTTACCAGTCGCTTTTTTCTATCACTGCCATTGTGGGGTTGTCGTTACGTTCTTTTCAACAGCCAAGTGGAGTAGCGGCTGGATATTAGGCTATACAAACACACAATATGTTTGCGTGGTATGACCATCCACCACCGTCTCCGCTTCGCTCCATCCAGCAAAAACAGTCAGTAGCCGATACAACGACCTTTGATTGAATGCGGGCTTCTTTGTTTGCCTATCGAACCCAACAGACCGTGAGCGACCGACAGACAGACAATGAGAGCCAGTGCTTCTGTCTACAGTCTCGCGTTCGTGTAAACCGCGCATCGAGGGAAGGGCTACAATAGTGTACAGTACGCGGTCTGGATACCTATAGCAGCTTTAGTCAATTCTTGTGCCAACGGCTTGCCAGTAACATTATTTACTGGTATCTTCGCCGCCATCACTACTACGAAGAAAGAAATATCAACGCGGTGGTCTTTTTTATTCGTGCTCTAGTTGAACGTGAAGCTTCAAGCTACGCTTTAAATACTTAGGCTATTTATTGTCTCTGATAGTCCGTTTCAATGCTACTGGGTGGGATCCCACGACCATCGTTTGCACGTCTTGCGCGTTGGTAGAACTGCACCATTGTCTCAGCTTAGGCGCAATTCGTTTGACCACTCGTCCTGGTTGGTACCTTTGCATAAATCGGATGAACGGTTCGAGCAGTTGCGGACGACGCCGTTCACCAGAAAAACTACACTGGACTTATCGGCGATACCTTTCTTAAACAGGCTCCCGCACTTTTTTGTATGTTTATTTACGAAGCTTGTGCCCTATAGAATTCAGCTTGGCCTTCGTTCGAAGCAGCCTATTCTCGTTGTTGTCGGAAGCGTTCCTGAATTCGAAACAGAATTTTCGTCTTCATATAATATCGTGCCTTCGATTTGCATCTAGTTTGGGAGGCGTGCAGATGAGCTCTGCCAAATATTTGAGGATGCCTCCAGAAGCTTGGCCTAACAGACAAGTCCTGTGCTCTTAGTGGCAAAGCGTAACCTTCACGGTCATAACTCGGTCACGTTTTTACTCCTCCTTATGTACACTTACTATTAGCGACCGCCAAAAACTCGCTATTTAATGTACTGTTATCGCTGCGGCGAAAGCGGCGTTTCAACAAAGATCTGTGGTTGACGCAGTCACACCTATCAGTCCAACGGTGGCGATACTACGTCGGGCTGGAATCCTGGTTGGTATTAACGTGTCAGCCGAAAATCATCTCTGAGGGCACTAAGCTTTGAGATGTCGGTACTTCGTTTCCTATATTCGCCCCATTTTTTTTTATCGGGTCGACAGTCAAGGCTCTTTGTGGTGTAGGCTCTTTTCGAGTAAACAAATTAATTCCGCACAGTCACCCGGGCGGCTATGAGGAAGTTAGCGAAAGCGATGGCCTTCATCGTCCGTCGTACTTTGGCTATATATAGCTGAAAGTTGAACTTTATCCTACTTTATCAGATAATGCTCGCTTTATTTTCGCGGGCCTTAATGAGATCAAAAAACTCTTCTGGAAACCTGAGTTCTTCTTTTAGAAAGTGAGCTACAAGCTTTTCTTTGAATTCTTGCTAGGTATCGGTCCCCACCATTTGGCGATCATTCCATATTTGCGCGGCTCCCCTTAAATACTTTCTCGCTCTCCGCACTTCTTGGTTCTCGGACCATTGTTCTTGTGCTATCTCACGCTTTATCTCCTCGATCTGCTTTCTTGGTTTGTTACCGTCAAACCCGTGCCTCTCTGTTCCATTATGCTGTACGGCTTTCATAAAGTCGTGTCCGATTTCCTCCATCCCACAACACTGCTAAGAAGTTCGAATGCGCCGCTTGAAGATTCGTCGTTGGTTGGGGAAGACTGGTTCTGTCGAGCTTTATGTTATGCCCTAAATACTCGCAGACCACTTATTGTAGTATCAAATATCTATATTAGTATCCAGGAAAAAGGGGAACGATATGGAACACAGACCAGACGTGCCTCTCGGTTGTCCCTAGCAAATTTTAAAACTCTCAGACTTCTATATTTTTTATATGCACACTGGTCAGAAACTTAGTGCAACTCGCGTTACTGTGTGGTGCATATTTTGAAAGGTGAGGCTATATGGGACCACTAAGTATTTTTTTTTTTTGATACTTCATTTTGTTCAATAAAATTTCATAAAATTTATGTGGAACGATAAAATAACAACATAATTAACTCGTTGTCTAAAAGTGTATTTGTAATAGCAAATAAATAACATTTTATCAAGGTCATTAAGTGAAGTTACAAATACTACGTGGCCACCCTAAGAGCTACATGCCCCAAGCTCAGCTGGGCTATATAGGGTGTTTTATTTAGAGCACATATTGTATCGGCTACTAATTCTAGACAGAAATTGAATGAACTAAATAACCTCAAAATACAACTCGGCTCTGTAGAAATAAGTGCATGTCTATATATACGTTAAGTATATTTATAAGTTATACCACACGTCGTTATTGCTAACAACATGGCGCATGTGTTTATTTTCTAAGAACATTTTGACGACTTTATATGCACAATGCACCGTTCGGATGAAACAATCATAATCATCATCATAAATCAGAATTTACCATAGATAATTATTCAAATAAAAATCACGATTGTTGTACGAGCTTCGGCGCGGTCGTCATTGGATAATATTTCGCATTTTATCAGTACGTTTCTGCTTACTTCTTGTGGATGTACCAACGCTTAGCCTATTCAGAACAGGGCTCCATACAGTAGAACTTCATGTGGACAAATCGTAGTCGTTGTTTGCTTAACTTGGCAGAGAAAAAAGACAGTGCATCATTTTTTTTTTATCCATAATTATAGCTTTCTCTAAAAAGGAAAAGATTTTCTTTGGGGAAGGGAAAGTATAGCTTTGTTGAAGAACTGATTTTTACACGTCAAATAACTAATGGCCTATATAGCTTTCTTATATCAAATATGTCCCGGTTTACCCCGAGCGCCCTATATATAAAGGGCGTTTAGGATAAATTCGAGTACATTCTGACATACTATTTTTCATAGCGTATGCGCGCTAATTCGTTACTTTTGAAGGCGGAAAAAGAAAAGAGATCTCGCTAGTTCGAAAAAAGAGCTCAACATCATCGTGGACGGAGCAGAAGGTTCTTGTAATAAAAATAAAAATCAGTTATCTTCCGATCAGTTTCTGATGCACGAACCTTCACAAAGGTTTTAAGCGTTCTTGCTTGCCCACAATCAGCGGTCAACGCTGCTGCTAGCCTCTATATGGCTTGGAGAGAATTCGAGGGAAATTTCCATGAGGCAAAATGTACGACCAACAACAATCAGACTGAAAAAATTCCAAAATTCATCACGATAGCCGAAAAATAATTTTCCATGATGCTGAAACTTTAACACAGAGATCAACAGCTCTTTTGAAGAAGAGTATCTTTTGCTAGTTTACTGTTACTCATTTTATTACTATATATAAAGCCAAGGACTAATTTTTAATATTTTTTTTAATTTTTTTGGAATTTCTGTAGTTTTTTGTAGTGTTAGATTTTTCACCTTCGAACAATGCAAAATTTTAACTCGCTAGATTATTTTTTTTCTACTGCAACGTATTTCACTGAGAGTTTAGCATGTACCGTAATCGTTTTATTTTTGATACAAACAAAAAATACAATTTTTGAATGTTTAGGTCTCGGATTAAAGGTGAATAAGCAAATCCTCAAGGAACGTCCTTGTCAATGAAAAAAATGTCATTCAAAGATCTGTTTATCTGTATGCATCGA